AGTGGTGAGACGTAAAGACAGAGAAGAAGTAGTGAACAGGAGAGCAGTGTCTACAAAATAAGGAGGAAGATTTTAAAACCAAGATATCAAAAAGACAGAAAGAACTAGAAAAGGAGAGCAGCTAACAAAGAATTTTAAAAATGTGTTAACATTACATGGATTACATCACCTCGTCTTAAACAGAAAAATTGTATGTTGTCACTCCAAAGGCAACAGAACATAACTACTTCTATGCATAAAATGTAACAGTTGATTCTGTCAATTAAATGCAAGCTTCTTTTCATATTGTTATCTAGGTTAATTTCCCCCCTAGATTTTGTTAATAATTTTGTTGCTTGTGTACAAGCTTCCATTTACAGTTCTGTGCACACACCTCAATCCTGGGTCTTTAGCACCTCCTGCTATTCCAGTCCTCAGTAGAGGACTTGCTTGTTTTATGATATGGACAATGGTACTAGTCTGAGATCCCTAAACACATTTTCACTTGTAGGTTCAAACATGAATCAGACAATTTTTCCAAAGGTAAATGCCACTGATCTAATTAGCAGCACCACCTGGTTCAAAAATAGTGAAGAGATTCAGAAAAATAGCCTGAAATGTTCACTGGTACATCTGTTTCTAGCTGGAATGCAAATGTTGCCATTTTTCATTCTCAGCAAAGTACTAACTTGGTCTCACATTTTTCAGGTTTACACACTGCCTGTTTCACTTAAAAGTACTAGAGTGCAACAAAATTGCATCCATATTACAAAATTCCTGAAGCTAGTTGGATGATAATACTTAAAATATAGTGTTGCCCCCACAAGTTATTCAGAGGAAAAAGCCATGCTACAGATAGCTCACTATTATAGTGCAAGGTAAGAAACATGTTAAGATAAAGCAAAAGATTAGGTTAGTTCCTCTATTTCCTATGGTGCATGGATGATTATTGTTGAAGCTGCATATGCAAAGGACACAAGGGGAAAAAAAGTGTTAATTCTCTTTGACAGAGCATGCTCCTGTTCACATGCATACTACAAGGATTAAGACAGAACTCTTTTTCTCTTCCCTTCTTAGCAGAAGATAGGTATTGAAGCTGTCACAGAAGTGAGAAGAATCTCTCCTTCGCCACAGAGTACAGCAAGTCCAGCATTCTTTTACAGTCTGAAGTATAACAGGCTTTTAAAGCCCTCTTCCTCCCCAGTTTGCTTTTAGTTAATTCTTATCATTCAGTTTCTTTCCTGCACCTTATGCAATTAGACTAATTCAATATTAGTTCTCTTTCAAGGGATGGCTTTCCCTTTCCCACCTGCAAAAATTCTGCCAATACTGTCTTGCTGTACTGCTTTGATTTAACAGTATTCTTTGCTACATCCTCGGGAGAACACTGCAGTCTGCAATGCTGGTTTTTATGAACAAACATACAGTTTCAGAGCCATGTAGCAAAATATTAATTATGTAAAAAAATAATCCATTTTGCATTATTTGGCAAAAATAAAAGTTTAATTTAAGTTTAAAGAAAGTGCTACTCCGCCCTAAACTTCTACCAAACACATACATAATCCACAACATAAGTAGTAATGAGATAACATTGGAACGATACATTAAACCACACAAAGGCACAATTTCCATTCTTACTGCTCAGAGCAGCGATAAAGGAGGGCAACTATTCTGTTAGCCAGTCTTGAAAATTCTACTGAACTAGGGCAATTGTTTTGACTGGCACCTAAAATATCATTAGGCCTTTTCCTATCATCTTAAAGGTGTAACGTACTGTGTGCCAAGGCTGAAGATTTTATAACAATTTTATAAGATTGCAATGGGGGTAGTTATCTGCCAGTAACTAACTCTCTTTTTCTGTAAAGATAAGCATTATTTAATGATCTACACTCCTGGAGAAAGAAGAGAGATGTCTAGTACAATACAAGATGAAAATTAAATATTACCAAAAAAAATATTGGCATAAAAATACTTCAATTAAAAAGTGTATCAGTCACCTATGATACTTCCTATAGAGCTACTGTGTTATCAAGGTATGTAGGTACAATTTCAAAATTCAAGAACTGTGAACCAATTCTGAATTATGGCATCTGTTGCCACTGGAAATTTTATTCTTCTGATCAATCTGTCTGATTCTTAACCTTGAAGACTCAAAGACCTTCTTTTGTTCTGAGGAGAAAGTAGATTCAGGAGAAAAACCCTTTCTTTTTGGAGAACTCTGGAATCCATTATTTCCCATAAAAAGGATGCCCCCCCCCCCCCTTCTAAAAGGATTTGTCTATGTTAGGGCATATTTCAATCTCAACCATTCTTGTATAAAGATGGTCTTGGTTCAGCATGACTAACGTGGGAGGCACAGATCCTTAAGACTTCATAGTCAGTGTCTCAGTTGTCCTGAATGCTGTTTCTTCTTTAAAGAAGAGAACTGAAGTCTCAGGGCACTCAAAACTAATCAGTGGAGTCTGGGTCAGAAGACTTCCTTTTAGACCGGGGTGGGCAAACTTTTTGGCCTGAGGGCCACATCTGGGTATGGAAACTGTATGGCAGGCCATGAATGCTCACAAAATTGGGGGTTGGGGTGCGGGAGGGGGTGAGGGCTCCAGCTGGGGGTGTGGGCTCTGGGGTGGGGCCAGAAATGAGGAGTTCAGGGTGCGGGAGGGGGCTCCTGGCTGGGGGGAGGGAGGGGGAGGACTCTGGCTGGGGGGGAGGGCTGGAAATGAGGGTTTGGGGGTGCATGGGGGTGCTCCGGGCTGGGACCAAGGGGTTCAGAGGGTGGGAGGGGGATCAGCGCTGGGGCAGGGGGTTAGGGTGTAGGAGAGGGTCAGGGGTGCAGGCTCCGGGCGGTGCTTACCTCAAGCAGCTCCGAGAAGCAGCAATATGCTCCCCCCACCCCCGGCTGCTATGAGGAAGCATGGCCAGGCGGCTCTGCACTCTGCCTTGTCTGCAGGCGCCACCCCTGCAGCTCCCATTGGCCACGGTTCCTGGCCAATGGGAGTTGCGGGGGCGGCGCTTGGGGCAGGGTCACCGTCAGCGTGCAGAGCCCCTTGGTTGCCCCTACGCGTAGGAGCCAGAGGGGGGACATGCCACTGCTTCTCAGAGCCGTGCGGAGTAGGGCAACCCCCGACCCTGTTCCTTGGCTGGAGCTCGAGGGCCAGATTAAAATGTCTGGAGGGCTGGATGCGGTCCCCGGGCTGTAGTTTGCCCACCCCTGTTTTAGACCCAAAGTGGGTAAAGACTGTGAAATCAGATTGACCTTCTGTCATGTTTTTTCCTATTATATGGGCCACATTACTATCTGAGCTTTCATTACCATAGTTACTGAGAATCTAACATTGGGACGACTTATGCCCTTCCCCAGGTATTTTCAAGTATCCAATATGCTAATGAGTCATAGATATCTTGTCATTACAAGATGTGTAACATTTGATTCATGACCTTTTCTCTGGACCCATCATCTTGGGCTACTAGAGACAAAAAGAGAAAAAACAGCAGAAAATCTGCATAATATGGACTAAACTATAATTACCTTAACTAGTAACAAGTTTAAAGCTATTTACAGCAATTATTTTAAGTCTATTAATAGTGGTGACCCATAGTTAAAGGTCAAAAGAGAAGAGCTGAAGGCAGTTAGGGCCACATATTTTTATATGGTAACTTCAAGGTAGTAGTTTAATATCCAAGATTAGTGGACACATGGAATCATAATAGTTAACTTCTTTTAGACGTATGTGGGACTTTTAAAGCAGAACAAGAAACTCTCATATTGAATTGCTTCTGCAGATTTTCAGTGAAGAAGAATTGCATACTTGTATTTTACAAATATCTCATCTGTTCAGATCAGCTTGAGTTTGTCTACAAGCTCTGATGAAATTATCTTTCACGTGCCCTTCAAGTTGCAGTCTTTGGTGGCCTAAACATTTCTGACTTGAAAATGTGATACTTAACCAATGAAATAAAAAAAGGAACTAGTGGTTCTGCAACATTTATATCCTTTAACATATATACTATACAGGCATTACACAAAGGGCATGCCTCAAGGAAAAAATTTACTAACCATGAAGCAATGAATTTGCTCCATCATTACCTTGTATACCAGGAATGTAGAGCCATAGCTAATACCAATCTTTAGGGAATAAGGGTTATTTCACTGTGAAATTTATACCATCCAAAATTCCCTGAAGGAAGTTCTGGATCCGACAGAATCTCTTTATTCATTGTACTGCATCTATTGCCCTCCAATTAGGTTGTATCTCCTTTAAGCATGCATACTGTAAAAGCCATTTATAAAATAAAATAAAATAGGAAACTGAATTTAAATACCCACACCTTTTAGACTGTATTCTGCTTTCCAATAAGTGCCTGTGGCTCACATGTTCTCAATTTTTCTCAGTGTATGGACCACATATTAACAGCAGGATTATCTCATGGAATGCCTGCTGGTTCCTTCATGATCATTCAGACCATCTCCCCTTCCCATTCACGGTCAAACACCACCTCATGCCATCTACAGCAATTGCTTAAGTGAAAAGTAATTTATCTTTAGATGATTTTTAATGCAATTTAGCAGTTAAAAACAAGGAGAACCAGGACCATATGATCAGCTAGCCAGTGATCTGCAAATCAGAATTTGAAGTCAACTAGTGTGCCAGGAGATTTCTGTTAGAATGCAGGGCAAAGATGTACTGTAACATCAGAGCATTATTACATAAATTTCCCCTTTAAAAAGTGAAAGGGATAAAGTGAGATGCCCAAACAGAGGACACAGGAACTGTATCTTAGTAGTCTTAAAGATCTATCTGAACTGAACTGCAGGGGACACTTTCCCAAGTTGTACTCTACTGAACTCAACTCCATTTCAACTCCTCATATAAATTAATGGCATGGTCATTTAAACTTAAGTGCTGCTATAGTAAAAGGGAGCAGCCTTGGCAGTGTCATCTATTGCTACTAAAGCAAAGCATTTACTTATTTTCTGCTACTAGTTTTATTAAAATAAACAAAACTTTTATAAAAATAGTTACTTTTCATCCATTCGGCTACGCATTTTCTTGAGCTTCTGCATGATGCTACTAGTCTCACTACTGGAGATGGAGATTGGGGAAGGGCTGCGGGTCTCTACATCAGTTGGAAGTGGGCTGGAAGCATTGCTCTGCTTTATATCATCCTCACTGCGAACCTCCTACAACAAAAGCAGAACAAAATTAAGAAAAGTATCATGGGCTTGGAGTGAAGAGTGAGAAAATAACTTTTTGAATATTGATCCGCTTTCCTCCTTTCTCCAGCATCAAACACAAAATTTGGCCCTGTAAACAATAGTTATTACCATACCGCTTTAGTCAGGTTAATCCTTGGACCCAAGCAGTCTATCTAGAGTTTATCCTGAGGTTACTAAAACTCAAACACAATGGAATTTTAAGCAATCAGAAAATAAATCCATAAGAAACCTCTACTGAGAAAACTGTAGCGCCAAAAAGAAGGCAGGTAATTCTTTTTATTTAACCTTTTCAAGTTTCTTTTTTATTTTATTAATTTACCCCATATTTATCTCCCACCCAACACCAATCTGACAATACTTTAGAAACTTGAGGCACTAGTTCTTATTGCAGATGCTTGGTAGCTTATTTCATATACTAACAATTTTTAAAATTCAGCATAAATCCCTTCAGTACTCTGCTGCTCTGTAACTTAAGTTCTCCACTGATAGTTTCTTAAATACTGAGTAATCCTTTCCATATTACTAGAATAAAGCCTCATCTTAGATTTTGTAAAGAGTTTAGCATCCGTAAGGTGATCTCTCCTATTTTTCAACCTGGAGAAAGAAACATGCAAGACTAAAGGTCAAGACCTCAAACCATACTACCTACACATTTCAAAGTATTGCGCTTCCACCTCTCTCTCATGTCTTTTTCTCAGTCTTGTTCTCTTCCTCCCTTTGTGGGTAGGATATATTCTATAGCAGGGGTAGGCAACCCATGGCACGCGTGTCAAAAGCAGCCCCGCAAGCTGATTTTCAGTGGCACTCACACTGCCCGGGCCCTGGCCACCGGTCCGGGGAATCTGCATTTTAATTTAATTTTTAAATGAAGCTTCTTAAATATTTTAAAAACCTTATTTACTTTACATAAAACTAGTTTAGTTATATATTATAGACATATAGAAAGAGACCTTCTAAAAACGTTAAAATGTATTACTGGCACGCGAAACCTTAAATTAGAGTGAATAAATGAAGACTCGGCACACCACTTCTGAAAGGTTGCTGACCCCTGTTCTATAGAATCTCGATTCTACATTTTACCTTCCTCAGTCTCTAACAAGGACTTATTTAACAAGTTAACTACATGGGTTTCTTTCTTTCTGAGATGACCATGCCTTCCTTTTGCTTCCTCTTACTCACAGTGAATGCACTCTTTGCATGGTCTGGAAAGTCCAAGAATCCTGCTGCTGCGATAGTCAACAATCCTGTACTGTAACAAGTATGTTCACTTTCCAAAGCGGTCTTTCATCCAGGAAGCACAGCATCTGGTATTGCCCATGATACAGAGGCTTCCCGCCATTTTAGGTCCCTAATCTATTATATCCTGTGCAACTGGAAGACTGAATTAAATCATCTAAAATCACCAGAAAGCTTTAGTCTCTCCAGATTAAACCAGAAATGTATAGTAAGGAAAACTGGTTTTATTAGTCAAGATTTTCAAAAGTGACTTTGGGTACCTCAATTTTTCAGGGCCTAACTTGGGACTCCATAAAACAGCCTGATTTTCAAAGGGCAAAAACTCAGCATTTTCTGAAAATCAGACCCTTTTAAAGTGTCTCAAGCTGGCATCCATAAATCAAGATACCCAAAATTACTAGTAACTTTTGAAAATCTTGACAATTAACATCATTTGCTATCCAGTTCAAAAAATAAACATCTTTTGAAAGTCATTGCCATATGGCTGTTTTTTCCTTCCACAATAAATTAAACAGATCAGACAGACAAAATTGCTCATAAACCCAAGGGATGAGGGAAGATTTAGGAGGAGGAGAAGCAAGTCTGTAAGCTATGTATTCAACATGATAACTTTTCATTCCTATACACTGAAGTCAATTACCACTGGAATGGGTTGGCTCCAAGTAGTAAGATACAGCTTCTGTAATGTTACTTACCAGCTTGTTTTCCCCCGCAGACTTCAGTTTTTCCTGCAGTTTCATGGTAGTCTGGCGGATTCGTTCTATCTCCTCCTGCTGCTTAAGTATCAGTTGTCTCTCCTTCCGAGCTGCCTTATTGGCCTCTTGCAAACGCTTAATTTCTGCCTTTAAAGGTAGAAAAGATGCAGCAAAAGAACTGTAGTGACAGTTGCCTGGAATGCATGCTGAGGCTGCCGTAAGGCCTGTGCCATATAATTAGTCAAGGCATTATGTTATTTTGATAATTTTGTTCAGTTATTCTCAGAGCAAGGACAGCTGATCAATTACTATACCACCACTAATAACTGTGTCCTGGTGTAAAAGGCTCAACTTGTTAATGCTAGATGCTATTATAATACAAATAAATAAAAATAATAATAATGAGAACCACAATAAGCTTAGGATCCAAGGACCTGGTTCGGTGGTTCTTGTTCAATACTCAAGTATCTATACAATGTCAGAGCTGTCCAGCGACTATACGATGGATTCAACTGGATTTTTCTATAGGGCAGCATTTACCTTCTCCTGCTGCAGCCTCAATAGCAGACCACGCTGTCTCTTTCGGATGGGTGGCATCTTGTCATCCTCTCCTTTGTCTCGTAAATGTCTGCAAGAAGATTGGGGGAAGGGAAGAAATAAATAAATAGCCTTAATTTCTCTTGCTTCCAAATACAGCAATACTTTTCTACTCTGCAATCTTACATCTCCAAAACAGAGTAGCACCATTTTGCATGTCAAAACTCCATCATGAATATTCTCTTCGGTGAACTATCCTATGTTCTTTAGGGTCTAAACAGAATCAGTTTTGCTATATTTAGTTTGGCTCTGTTTGAGATACAATTCTGTAGCAAAGGCATAAAAAGTTAAAAGAGAGTCAATGTAGGTGATGCCAGACATTGTCTCTCATGCCCAGGCCAGATATTCACAGCACAGTCATTTGAAAGACAGTGAGTGAAAACAATGCTCCAGGTCACTCTCTAATAGTTCCCTGCCTGACACATGAAATCCTAGAGTAAAGGAAACAGTTATGGTTGTTTACGGCAACACAGGGCCTTTGCTGGTTGGTGGTACGGGAATTTTAGAAGGGGGGAGAGAAATCAGGTGACCTTAATACCACTATTACTGTTGAGACAGTATCAAAATGCACATAAAAGAGATGAGACAGTATCAGTACAAGATAATTGAAGCAGCAGCAGCGGCATATTTAAGGTTTGAATACATTGCATGTGGTTGTAACAGAAAAATTTAGAGTTGAAAGAAAATGGTTCCTCTTGAGTTGAAAAAGTGATTTCAGGTGGGACTTTATTAGTGACGCTATATAATTAATTGCTTTGTCAATCTACGAGGGAATAGTCATGTCCTCCTTGCACCCTCCCCACTATGAACCTTAACTCAGGAAGCAATATTTAAATAAAAAGAACATATAAAGACAATCATCATCTCTCGCAGTTTACTGTGTAGACAAGCTTCTCTTTATTGAACAGTACTGAATTTAAACTGGAGAATACACGTGCCTATTGCATCATTTTCACATTTGTTATATGTATACGGTGATTTTAGATGAATAGTTTACAAAGAACACTTAATCGAATTTAAAAAACAGAACATGAAGAAGCCATAAAAAAAATACCCAGGTAGAAGCACAAGTGCAGGAATCGTCAGTGAGACTACATATTCAGAGTTCTCTTACTTTTTCTGGTGTTCCAGCCAGGCTAACTCAGCCTTGGTTTTCTCTTTCAGTGCCTTTTCACGGAGCCGAAGCAGTGAAGACTGATGAGCTGCTCGCATTTCCTCTTCCTTCATATACTGCCGTACCATCTCCATGGTGAATTTAGAGAAACTATCCTGCCCCCCCGAGAATGGCATACTTAGCTCCTGGTGAGGCAAGAGAAATTCCAGTTAATCCCCACAAAAAGGACCTCAAGTAATATTTCATCAGACCCAAATTATCTAAGTGAAAGAGGACGAGAGCCAGCATTCTGCATATACAATACCAGTACCCAACTACATGTGAAGATTGAAACTCATACCAGGGGATATTTGAAGAGATGGTATGAAACAGAAGAGGGAGGGGCAAGTTGAGATCCCCATTTGGTGGTGGTGTGGGTTTGTTTGTTTCATTTTACGACATCGAGCTACCTTACTGTTAGACAATGATGCTACATTTAAAGTACAGGCTGAGAATTACATGCCACACACCGACAAAGAGTTTTCCCTATAAATTGAGCTCAGTCTTAACTTTCCAACATCTTACATTAATGTAAAGATTAATTTCCCCAAGCTGTTAGTCTGTTCTTTCCATCCACTTGAAAATGTCTTTTTCACCTGAAAAGCTGTTAGTGCTTTTCCTGGTGTAGGGACATTTGGATTTTTTTAAAAATTTTGATGCCATTTTTAGTTTATTTTATTTTCTCCATTGTGGCTGACAAGGCCACAAAGCAACAGAGAAGCAGAGAAATGTGCCCCAAACACAACAGCATTGAATAAATTTAAATGCTTCAAACACAGGGTAGATTTTCTACTTACATGTTTCAGCTTTATCCTTTGCTAAAGGCTTCTATATTTCGTTTTACAAAACTACCGTAGCCAATTGATAGCTAGATGACAGTTTCAAAAAGTCTGTTGATCTATTGGGGGAAGTGGCACAATAGGAGAGTGCTTTCCATGCCACATCCATGTTCACATATCCTCCCTGGTAAATCTTAACCCTGCCCAACTGTAGGTCAGCTGGGCTTGGAACATCCAAAGCCCAACAAACTGGGACCATGGTGAACCACTAGAAGTTTGTCAGAAGGAAAGTCACCTCTGGACCAGAGTTGAAGCACCTTTAGCAACAAGTCTCTTAAATCTTCTTGCCTCCCGCCCTGTTAATAATAGGGGCTGAACTGGTGGGAGTGGCAGGATGAGGGCTGCATATTTGCTGGTGAGTGTGATGGAATAGGTCTGAGTGGTATGGGTATTTGATGGATGTAGAGAAGAAGGAAAAGCGACAAGTACATAGTTGGGGAAATGTGATTTCTAGATTTTCAGCAACTGCGTTGATGTGATTTGCTTAATTCTAAGTTAAAGGTTTTTGTTTGAAGGATAATAATGTGGGGAGACACTGGGATAGTTGTTAGAAAAGTTTGTATTAAGTGCACATTCATAAGTGTTTATTGAAATAGTTGAAAGATTACATAAAAATATAATGGTAAAAACATTATTTAGGTTGCAATCAAACATTCAAAAGTTTGGAAATTCCTGATTTAAGGTTGCCTATGCCTATCATAGTTCTGGCATTTTGTAATTTTCAAGTGCCTGACTTGAAAGCTAAATAACTTTTTATCAGAGTTTTATTATGTGATTTCCAAAGTTTTTTTTTTTAAAAGGCAAAATGTTAAACAAGTTATATTATGTACAACTGAAATTCAGTGCAAGAGGGAAAGCTTCATTCTCTATTAGCTTTACATTTGGCACAATTCGTATATACAATTATCCTTTGAGTGTTTTACAGGAAAAGAAACATCCTAAAGTTTGCAAGCATAACTTGACAAAAGATGGTTCATTTCAAAGTCACCAACAGATTGAGTATCTCACCTAGGGAAGAACTTCAACTGTATTTATTCTCCGTAACTACAGTTGCATGGTATTTGAGACCTACCTTTACAGATGACAGGGCTGTCTTTTCTGGGGAGACTTCCTCATCAGAATCGTCCCGATGACCTCGTTTCTTCTCCATGTTAATCCTGCGATGGCTCTCAGAAGGTAGCAAAGACCGGAAAGACTTTTCTTCTATCTCATCTTCTGTCATGGACTCATCAAATTTCAGGGAATACTCTGTTGCAATGGAAGCTGAGTCTGAGGGAGGAATCAGAAAAAAGAGTTTATTCTCCAGTGAGAGTCTTCATTATGCACACAATGGGCTTTGAAGTGGATCTAGCCTCAGCAAAGGTATAAAGTGTTGTGTGGAAACTCAGACTGAATAATTCAGCTAAATAATGGGCAAAAATGTTATATCACAGAATGAATGCTAATACTGTGAAAAATGTATAAGCCAAAATAAAAATAATAGTCTGAACTACACTTAACATCCTGCAGAAAAAGCCTATTAGAAAAATGTGTGGTCATCCCTTGGAGATTATAATGAAGTAGAATATCAGACAATTTTTATTTAATAGTATTATTTAGCTGATGAAGGCTTCAAACGGAAGATATCCAGTGCCACTTCACAGTCTGAATTTTTTTTTAATAACTATACAAATGCATTTTTATGGTAGCTGAAACATCTGGCCTTCAGCATATATTCTGGTATAACAGTAAATGAACATCTGGCAACAGTTATATTAACAGAAAATAGAACAGCCTATGAAATCAATTGCCCCCTAAATACAGAACAGTTTAAATGATTCCTTCCCACCATGTCATCCTCTGTTATCTCTTCACAGACTACCACTTAGTCCAGAGGCTCATCTTTCTTCACTTGCATTCCCCCTCCACTTATCTCAAAGACTTTAATTCCGAGGCACTACCTCTAGCTTCACCAAGGATCATGAATACGTCTAACCTTTCTCATCTGGTAGTGATGGAATACTATCGCTCCGCAAGGAATCATCCACACCAGTACGAGCCTGCTCTTCTATGGAGCTGCTCGTCTTTTCACGTCGGGAGGGCTTCTTCTCATTCTCCTTGGAAGAAGGAACTGAAGGACTCTCCTGCCGGCTGCTGCTGCTACTATTTAACAAGAACAAACACTTTTTATTTGTTTCTGCTTTTCTCCACCAGAACCAAGACATAGAAATGTTGCACAGGTACTTGACAGTTCTGCTTGTTCACTCCTTCAACATTGAAGGAAAAAAAAAAAAGTTTGTATTCTCATCTTATCTCTTACTGAGTAAAAATCCTAGTTAAAAAAATACTTAGGTTAAACAAAAGCACAGTTTGGCTACTGCAAAATCCCAGGCCTAACTAAATTGGAAATCCACACTGAAAGTTCTCACTTCTGGTCTAAGATAGAAAGGAACAGCCAGGGAAACAAACAAGCCTGTAAGTGTGCACATCTTTCACCCTGCAATGGGTACTGACGATAAATCATGCCAATCATTCCCTTTTACAAGTCTTTAAAGTTTTTTTTGGGGGGTGATGGGGGTTAGCTTTTTAAATTATTTATTATTATTATTATTATTAGGGAGGGGAAACAAACTAGCTAAGAGACAAAAACTAAGTTGGAATAAGTGGTCACTTTTCCTCTGGATAAAAAGTTACTGGTGAGGTGGTAAAATATGCAGAAGACACAAAGTTATTTAGATATGTCAAGACCAGACACAACTATGAGGAACTTCAGAGGGACCTAACCAAACTAGGGGAGAATGTACAATATAATGAAAGATTAAATTTAGTGTTGACAAATTCAAGATCATGAATAATGGATGGAACAACAGAAGGTTCTCATACACCTTACTGGGTTCTAAATTAATAAATAGTTCCCAGGAAGGAGACCTAGGCACCTGTAGACAGCTCAATGAAGACTTCTGCTCAGTGCAGAGCAGCTGCCAAATAAAAACAAATCAAATGTCAGGGTATATGAAGAATGGAACACAGAATATGACATATATTGTAAAACAATAATATAGATCAATGGTATGTCTTCACCAGGGATACCATTCACTGTTCCAGTTACCCCATCTCAAAACATATATATAACAGAATCAGAGAGGTTTCAGAGAAAGGCAACAAAAGAATGATTAGGGACATGGAAAAAATCTCATACAAAGAGAAATTGAAAAGATTAGTACTGTTTACCTTAGAAAGGACACAAATGGGAACATGGCAGAAAGGGGACAAGATAAAAAATATACAAAATAATTAATGGTATAGAGAAGGCAGAAGAGGAGTTTCCGTTCTTGTTTCATGAGACAGGAAGAACAAGGGGACATTCAATGAAATTAAACAGTGGCAAATTTAAAATAGAAAAAAAATATCTTCACACCACACCACGAGACTGTGGAATACATTGCAACAAGTTCTCATTTGAGGCACAGACCTTAGCAGGAAACACACAAAAATATTAGATTAAGGATTATTTATATTAATAACACTAATATCCAGAGTTATAATAGTAAATATTTAAAAACAAACAAACAAGTTTTGGAAGGGATAGAAAGCTTCAAGCTTTGGGACATAAACCAATCTCCAACTACTGGGAATTAAGAAGAAACTTTCATTGGGGGCAAGTTAAAATTCCAATAGATACCAGTTTTCCAGAGCATTCATTTGTATGTATTTTTACTACACTTTTAAAGTAGAAATTGATGGCATAATTTAATCTCTTCTCACCTCTGATCATGATTCTTGGATCTTGAGGATTCTGAGTAACTATCAAATAATGGGGAGTATGTCTGCTTTGAGTCAGCTGTCTTCTCTTTACTTTGTGAAGGGGTTCCAGATTCATTTTTCCTGTCAAAGGAAAATGTTCTGGATAAATTTGAGTAGTCTTGGAATAAAGAATAAAAAAAGAAAGGTTTTTACAATTTACTTCAATTTAATAGGAGAAATAAGGGTCTGTTGAGTAAAGAGACTGGAGGACTTAAAAAAGGATAGGGCAGTTAAATCAGACCAAACTAAACAGGATGAAAACTATCCAATTAAAAGAGTAAACAGTTTCACTTCTCACTTATGTATAACCCTTTACAGAACAGATGATGTGTAAACCATGGAAAAAAATTCTGTCTTTGTACTCTTACATTAAGCTAAGTTCATCTTCCTAGTCTATCTACTCTATCCACATAGAATTCCTTTATATAATGCTCTTTCATTAAAGCCCCATAAGGTTTTCACTAAAAAATGGTGGGAGAACTAGTATAAGGCTAGGTCTACACTACCCGCCTGAATCGGCGGGTAGAAATCGACCTCTCGGGGATCGATTTATCGCGTCCCGTTGGGACGCGACAATCGATCCCCGAATCGACGCTCTTACTCCACCAGCGAAGGTGGGAGTAAGCGCCGTCGACAGGAAGCCGCAGAGGTCGATTTTGCCACCGTCCCTACAGCGGGGTAAGTCGGCTGCAATACGTCGAATTCAGCTACGCTATTCGCGTAGCTGAATTTGCGTATCTTAAATCGACCCCCCCGTGTAGTGAAGACGTAGCCTGAGAGGCCACAACAACTGCTACTGCTTTTCCTAAAGTGCTACGTTTGTGAGAGGTTGTATTGGTCAAATACCTGTTTGTATCGGCTCGATCTCTGAGCTCTTTCATGAACTTTGAATGATGTTGCCGCTGATGGTCGAACAGTGTGGTGATCGGAGCTGCTGGAGCACTGACTGCATCTGAGATCTGTGTTCGTGCCAACTCTGTCATCTGAATACAGGAATATACTTGATACACAGCTGCATTCCCTATCTGAAACTCTTAAATTGTTGCAGGCATATATACGACACACATCACCATGATATACGAATGATTTACACTTAAAGATGGGTCAATTTCAACTAAGAAAGAGGAGCAGATTGCTCTGTACATTTATTTTTTATTTACACACACACAGTGGGAAAAGCCATGTGGTAAACTGTATCAACCATGCTACTTTGGCCAACTAACCTGAACTCTGCTCACTAAATGAACTTCACTTAGGCCTGGTCTACACTAGGCTTTTATGTCGACTTTAGCGCCGTTATATCGAATTAACCCTGCACCCGTCCACACCAGGAAGCCATTTAGTTCGACATAAAGCTCTCTTTAAATCGATTTCTGTAATCCTCCCCAACGAGAGGATTAGCGCTAAATTCGACATGGCCATATCGAATTAGGCTAGGTGTGGATGGAAATCGACGGTAATAGCTCCGGGAGCTATCCCACAGTGCACCACTCTGTTGACGCTCTGGACAGCAGTCCGAGCTCGGATGCTCTGACCAGCCACACCCCCGGGAAAATTTGAATTCATTTTCATTTTCCTGTCTGGGCAGTTTGAATCTCAGTTCCTCTTTGGACATCGAGGGGAGCTCAGCAGCAGTGGCAACTATGCAGAGCTCTCCAGCAGAGATGGCCGTGCAATCCAATAGAAAGAGGGCCCCAGCATGGACTGATCGGGAAGTCTTGGATCTCATCGCAGTGTGGGGCGATGAGTCCGTGCTTTCAGAGCTGCGCTCCAAAAGAAGGAATGCTAAGATCTACGAGAAGATCTCCAAAGCCATGGCAGAGAGAGGCTACAGCCGGGATGCAACGCAGTGCCGCGTGAAAATCAAGGAGCTGAGACAAGGCTACCAAAAAACCAAAGAGGCTAACGGACGCTCCGGATCCCAGCCCCACACATCCCGTTTCTACGAGGCACTGCATTCCATCCTGGGAGCGGCCGCCACCACTACCCCACCCCTGACCGTGGACTCCGAGGATGGGATATTGTCCGCGGCCGGTTCCTCGTCAGACATGTTAGCGGACGGGGAAGATGAAGAGGACGAGGCAGTCGACAGCGCTGGCACCGCTGATTTCCCCGACAGCCAGGAGCTCTTCATCACCCTTACCGAGATCCCGTACCAACCGTCCCCATCCCTTACCCCGGACACAGAATCAGGGGAAGGATCAAGCAGTAAGTGCTGTAAACATGTAAACATTTATTTAAAACAGAACGGTAATATTTATACTATTAACAATGTATATTTATAAAAGTGCTGTAAACTAGTAAAAAAATAATCAGGTACAAAACAGGAATATTTACAAAGGTAACAAATGGGTTTTCATGATTTCTCTGTCTTAGGCTCTTCTCAATTTAGTCCCAAGTATTTTAAAAAAATTTCACAATGTCCGTTACTACATGATTCCCAGGCCCAAGACGCTCCACTCCAAAGTCCCAGTGCACCTACGCGAAAATCCGGTCAATGTGGCCGGGGATCGACGAGAAATCCTCGTAGGAGAACTCCTCGTAGGTCTCGTGGAGGTAGAGCTCAAGCCTGTTGATCAGGTTCCGGGGTAGGGCGATCTTAGTGGGCCCTCCGTGGTAGCAGACATGTCCCCTCCACGCCACAATCAAGTACTCCGGGATCATCGCACGACATAGCATGGCGGCATACGGCCCCGGTTTCTGCATGCTTTCCCGCAGCATGCGTTCTCTCTGGGTGTCCGGGATCCTCAGGAGGGTGATGTCGCTCATGACGCCCTGCTTTGAATTAGGGAGGGGAATGTTAGTATTGGGACTGCTTTACAGCCACGCGGTGGAGGGAGAGGGGCAGCATACAGGGATCTTTCCCTGGGACAGCCGCGAGGGGGTGGGACAGGGGCAGAGTTGATGCTGCCCTGATTGCTGGCAGCAGAGACTGGCATTGCTTTCAATGTGAAAGGAGGCCAGTGCTACTGCTGGAGTTTTAAGCAGCCACAAGTCTGCGGCTTACCATTATTGCCCGCTCCAGAAGTTCAGGTCTCCAGCCACAGTTCTCTGAACACTCCAAGACCTCCGCAAGTCCACAGGCACTGAAGGCGACGGCCGAAAATTCGACCTTGTCCTGAGTGCGCATGTGAGAGGTTCAGTGCATGGTCTTGTTCACAGAGAAAGACTAGGTTCTTTGTATACAATTTCATTTATCTGTCTCAGGAATTCACTCCCTTTTTAAAATTCACACAGACACATCTGCGACTGTCTCCCAACCCAGCCTGTCAGCACACTCCCAGAGGCTAGCGCAGATTAGGCGGAGGAAGAAGAAGACGCGTGAAGACATGTTCTCAGAACTAATGGGCTGCTCCCGAGCCCAGGCAGCCCAGCAGACACAGTGGAGGGAGAACTTGTCACAAATGCACCGGGCAGTCATGGAACGGGAGGAGAGGTGGCGTCAGGAGGACCAACAGGCTACTGAAAAGCTGCTTGGACTAATGAGGGAGCAAACGGACACGCTCCGGCGCCTTGTGGATGTTCTGCAAGACCGGAGGCAGGAGGACAGAGCCCCGCTGCAGTCTATCTGTAACCGCCCTCACCCGCCACCAAGTCCCACACCACCCTCACCCAAAGTCCAAAGAAGGAGGGGCGGCAAGGGCCGTTAAAACTTTCAGTCAACCCCTGCAGACTGCTCTAGCAGTAGAAGGCTGACATTCCCCAAAATTTCATAAGTCCTTTCCTACCCACCTCACACAAGCCCCCGTCCAAGTTTCACCCCCCACGTTTCATGTCTGGTTCGCAATAAAATGTTTGTTTCTGTTCATTACTGTTTCAGTCAGGTTCTTTTGAGGGAGAGTCTGTCTGGAGGGGGGGAAGGGGCTTGGTAATTGGACAGGACAGTGACCTTTAGCAGGGTACAGAGGCGGTGTCAGGTCCAGCATCAGGACACATACACAGTGCAGTCACTGGTTACCCTGGTCAGTCTGGGAGGTGTTTTTCATGTTTTGGGGGGGGGGGGTGGGTTGCGCTGTGACTTTGTGGCGGGGGAGGGCAGTTACAGATCTTATGCAGCGGTCCTTATCCTGGCTCACAGATCCACGCAGCAGGGGATCTGTAACCCTACCCCCCCTGCCAGAAAGTCACATAACCGACACATACACACAGTCCCACCCAGGAGTGCTGGCAGGCTCCATTGAAATAACCAGTCCACCAGTGCGGAGCCTGTCATTCCGGGAGTTTAGAAGCATCATTTGCATCAGAACACTAAACCCGCCCCCCGCCACAGTCTGCGTCCCCGGTTTAAAATATTCCCGCGAAAACAGCAATACAGACAACGGTGTTCATTAACAAAATCGAAATGATTTTATTTTTTGGGAAGGGGAAGGGGGTGAAGGGGGTATGTAACTGGAGAGGATAGTCAAAATGGACTGGGTAAAGAAACGGGGGCAGGTTCAGCTTTTCTGTCCACAAACTGAAAAGTCACTGGTTGCCCTGCTCACTCAGGAACCTAGCTTTCAAAGCCTCCCGGATGCACAGGGCGTCCCGCTGGGATCTTCTAATGGCCCGGCTGTCTGGCTGGACGTAATCAGCAGCCAGGCTATTTGCCTCTAGCTCCCACCCCGCCATAAAGGTCTCCTCCTTGCTCTCACACAGATTGTGGAGCACACAGCAAGCTGCAATAACGATGGGGATATTGGTTTCACTGAGATCACAGCGAGTGAGTAAGCTTCTCCATCTCCCTTTGAGACGGCCAAAAGCACACTCCACCACCATTCTGCACTTGCTCAGCCGGTAGTTGAAGAGTTCTTTTTCTGTGTCCAGGGCGCCAGTATAGGGCTTCATGAGCCAGGGCATTAGCGGGTAGGCTGGGTCCCCGAGGATGACTGTAGGCATCTCCACATCCCCAAGAGTTATTTTGTGGTCTGGGAAGTAAATACCTTCCTGCAGCCGTCTAAACAGACCAGAGTTCCTGAACACGCGAGCGTCATGAACCTTGCCCGGCCATCCGACGTAGATGTTTGTAAACCGTCCCCGATGGTCCACCAGTGCTTGCAGCACCATTGAAAAGTAGCCCTTTCTATTGATGTACTGGCTGGCCTGGTGGTCCGGTCCCAGGATAGGGATGTGAGTCCCATCGATAGCCCCACCGCAGTTTGGGAATCCCATCGCGGCAAAGCCATCTATGATGACCTGCGCGTTTCCCAGGGTCACTACCTTTAGGAGCAGTACCTTGACGATTGCCTTGGCTACTTGCATGACAACAACCCCCACGGTAGATTTGCCCACACCAAAGTGGTTCGCGACTGACCGGTAGCTGTCCGGCGTTGCAAGCTTCCAGAGGGCTATGGCCACTCGCTTCTGGACAGTGAGGGCTGCTCGCATGCGGGTGTCCTTGCGCTTCAGGGCAGGGGACAGCAACTCACAAAGTTCGAGGAAAGTCCCCTTCCGCATGCGAAAGTTTCGCAGCCACTGGGATTCATCCCAGACCTGAAGCACTATACGGTCCCACCAGTCCGTGCTTGTTTCCCGGGCCCAGAATCGCCGTTCAACAAAATCCACATGCCCCATTGCCAACGTGATGTCCTGGGCGCTGGGGCTCGTGGTTTCTGACAGCTCTGTGCCACTCTCCGACTTCAGGCTCTCACGGCGGTGCCGTAGCCTCCTCGCCCGATTTCTCTGCATCTGCCTCAGGGAAAGGTGTATGATAAGCTGCGAGGTGTTGAGAACGGCCACAAGTGCAGCGATGGTCGCAGCGTGATCCATGATCGCAGTGCTGTGGCGTCCGCGCTGTCACTGACCAGAAAAGTGCGCGAACTGATTTCCCGCCGGCGCTTTCATGGAGGGAGGGAGGGCGTTAGTGACGGACGGATGACGACAAATTTTTTTTACCCAGAAGGCATTGGCGGCTCGACCCAGAATTCCGATGGGCAGCGGGGACTGCGGGAACTGTGGGATAGCTGCCCACAGTGCACCGCTTCCAATATCGACGCTCGCCCCGTTAGTGTGGACTCACAAAGTCGAATTACTGTCCTTAGTGTGTCCTTAGTGTGGACACACACGTTCGACTTTGCAATATCGATTCCACATATTCGATTTAAGTAAAATCGAATTACCCTCGTAGTGTAGACATACCCTTAGACAAACATTCCAAAACTCCAAACAGCTTAACAGATTTATTTTTTTAAGAAAATCTGCCACAAATATCATTTTCTTCTTTCCCCAAAAATTACACTTGTCTGATGAGTGAGACGGACTATGACTAGTCTTGAACAAGTGTCAATTTTATGGTCCAATATCATGCAAACCATCAGGGCTAGAAATGGTATTATATAATCAGAAACCCAGGAATTTCCTCTTTTCAATGGAATAAGGCACTTGTTTCTAATCAGGTATACAAAATATATCAAACATATCAAAATATGTTTACTAGTTTAAAATCTTCCTCTTCCTCAGGAGGTCTGTACGTTCAGACTTAGGAGACTAAAAGCTTGGTGAATGGGTACAAAAAAATCAGTTCCGATAATATTTTTCAAGAACTTACTAAATAAATTTCTAAAATAGTTTTTCTGTAAAATATATGGCTTATGCAGAACAGACAGTGTGGCAGCATAAAATATTTTTGGTTGGGATGATCTGAATAACTTGTTCATGTCTTCATCATTTGTGAGTAATGTAGCAACCTTAAACACACACTGATAAACTTGCATCACACCATCATGTCTTCTTGTATACATATATATGCACATTATTGAAAATAGTGGGAAAACTTAACTCCCTTTATACTTAAGGAAGGTATGGTGTGTGCCCAGCAAATGTGCTTGGTGCATTGACGACAGGTATTCACTATACATCATTATGATCCATTTAACTCTATGGACATTCAATTCAGTTTTGCCCTAGTTTCTTCAGAACATGGATCCAAAAACTCTCTCTCTAGCCTATCAACTTGACCATGACTTCCCTTTCTTTGAATCGTTCTTATCTCTTAGTAAGATGCTCTGGGGAGTGCATGGGGATTATAAGAAGGCCACTAACTTTTTTCTAAATAGCAGTGCCAGAAGTTCTACTGAATATCCTCCCAGCACTGGCATGCTGCAAAGGTGAAGAAGCTACACTGAAGAGTGAATGTTTTAGTAGCAAGACAACTTGGCAATGGAACATTTTCATCAAGTCTTTCATACAGAATCTCACCTCACGGATCTGGCGAGCTGCATCCGTGGTGAGCAAAGCAGCTTCCACCTGCTGGGCTGCAATTTTACATGTCGTCTCCTGTAGTGCTTCTGCTGCCTCCTGTCGTGACTGGACCAGATGCTGCAGAGATTCTGCATGGGCCTATAAAGAAAAAACAGCAAGGTTATAATTACTCTTGGTGGGTAGTATTATTATTCGTTTTGAGTTTATAGCCTTAAAGAAAAAAAATCAGTTTGAAATTAAGATTTGTCTCTGATGTGTTTTGGTCAGATACTTCAAATTCCTTCACCCGTTCCAGACCATCCATGGACTTCACATTAAGAATATTTCTGGACACAGGTTTACTTATAGATTCAAAGCGCTGTCTCTTACGCACTTCATATTTTTTGAAGGTAGGCATTACCTGCGCCGCTTTCTGCCTCGCTTCCTCCAACTGTCTTTGACTCTCTAAAGCCTCTTGCTCAGCCTTGAGTTTCAAAAGAGCCAAGTCCCGCTCATGTCGCTGCTGCTGTGCCTACAGATTGAGACATTTTAGTGTTAAGTAAAGGAATCTGCATTTAGATTCCACAACCCACCCCACTAACTGTAGCTAACTGACAGTCAGAATGCTGCTCTATTTGAAGCTTCCTGTGCTAAAGTCAAACCTTCAGTCTCTCTTCTGGCACCAATATCTTGTTGGTGAGGGAGCTGACAACTATGTATACCCCTTCCCACCCTTTCCCTCTGGGTACAAAAGAAATCAGAATCTGAAAGGTTTGCTTGTTCTGCTTTGGGAAGTAGCTAATCTTGTCAAGAGGAGCAGATTTCAACCAAGATATACCCAGAATAAGACCAAGAACCCAGCCTGAACAACCACCATTTGTTGCCTAAGGGCCAAGTATCAAACCTAGCAAGTAAATAAATTCTAGTTTTATCATGATATGCAGTAAAAACAATTATTTCAGCCAATGACATACTAATGGTAGGAGCTCCTGACTCATTACTGGTGTGTTGATAAGAACAGGGAAGATGATGCAGGTATTGATCTTAGAATATATTGGACATTTTCAAATAGACTGCATCACCTCAGCTGTGGATTGTTTCAAATCATCAGCAGAACTATTTCAATTACAATGCTTTGGTTATTTTTTCCTCACAAAATACAGAACAAGAGGGTTAAAGCAAGTAAAAAAAAGTTTCCAGTCACCTTTAGGATTTGAGCCAGTGAAACACTCTCCTGCTGGGCAAGTGATATGCCCCGCACTCGTTCTACATCTGAGAGTTGTCGTACAGATTCTTCAATGGCACTCAGGTAGTTGAGCTCTGCTGACAAACGATGCTGGAGACCAGCAGGAGAGAAGCGCATGGATCCTGTAAGAGAATACTTACTATTTAACATTTATAGGACTTAAGGCTGGTCTACACAAAAAAAATTAGATCGACCCAGCTATCCTGCTTAGGGGTGTGAAAAATTCACACCCCATGAATGATGTAGTTAAGCCAGCCTAAGTCCCTGTGTAGGCAGCGCTAGGTTGACAGAAGAATTCTGCCTCTTGGGGAGGTGGATTACCTACGATGACACGAGTGTCTGTGCTGAAGTGCTACAGCAATGCAGCTGTCGCACTGCAGCTGTAGCATTTCAAGTGTAGACAAGCCCTTAGCCTGCATCATAGAAACTATACATAAATACGAAGAGAAAAAAAAAAAAAAGAGGAAGTTTTATGGAATTAGTTGGGCTTGAATGGAGCCAGCTCACCAGCCACTGCTGCTGCTCCTGTCTTGCTAGTTCCCAGGCTCAAGTCAGAGATGGGTACATTGGGCTTGAACCCTGAAGCTGTAGTCCCAGGAAAGCCTGCAGGGGACCTGGCTCTTTCCGCTGTATTTCCTAGAGAGTCAAACTGTAACAGTTTCTGGGAGCCTGGAGATGGGGGAGAGGTTGGGGTCTTCTGGGACCTTCCCTTGTCTGAGAGACTGACAGAAAAATCAAACCAGAAAAAGATCAGTATTCTCCAATGCCCAGCCATTTAAATGCAAGGATGACAGTTTACATAGTAATAAGCTAAATCCCCTGTTTGTCTACATTTGAACAGACTATGTACAAGGAATGCTCTCCTATGATTTGCAGGTGCCTACCCTGCATTTAAGAAATGGCTCACTACAGGGATGTTACACATGCATTCCACTTTGGGACACATTTTGATAAAGTTGTTCTATAGCAGGGGTAGGCAACCTATGGCACGCGTGCCGAAGGCGGCACGCGAGCTGATTTTCAGTGGCACTCACACTGCCCGGGTCCTGACCACTGGTCCGGGGGGCTCTGCATTTTAATTTAATTTTAAATGAAGCTTCTTAAATATTTTAAAAACCTTATTTCCTTTACATAAAACAATAGTTTAGTTATATATTATAGACTTATAGAAAGAGACCTTCTAAAAACGTTAAAATGTATTACTGGCATGTGAAACCTTAAATTAGAGTGAATAAATGAAGACTCGGCACACCACTTCTGAAAGGTTGCCGACCCCTGTTCTATAGTATCAAGCATAGTTAGTATATAAATAATAAAGGAACAAGGATTACTTACAGGTTCTAAACAGAGAAAAAAATCTCATATGAGTCAAATTTATAAACAGTCATTAAAGTATCAAGGCCAGTAACATACTGTAGAAATTACCCTATAATCCTTCACATAAATAACTACATCAAAAGGTGATAGGACTCCTTGACTATCCCATAGATACAAACTTCTCTCTGTACCATGGGGCAAAGATTTTCAAAAATAAGTGCCTAAGGTTAGCCCCTTAATTCTATTCTTAGGCACCAGAATAAGTGGCCTGATTATCCAGCAGCTCCTATCAATTTCACTGGAATTTGATAGGAACTCGACACTTCTGAAAATCAGGCCACATTCAGGCGCCTAAATATGGATTTAGGAGTCTAACTTTAGGCACCTCGTTTTGAAAGTCTTGGCCAGGAACTTAATTTTACCTACAGAAAATTAATTAAACCTACAGAAGAACCTGACATTATAGAAGCCCTTTACAGTTTAGAAATGCTCTAGAGGTGCAAGTGGCTATGACAGAGCTGTTACCTTTAAATATTAATCTCCCTTTGCAAAATGAGGTAAATGCCAAAGAGTCCTAAATTTGCATTAAAATAGTAATACACCTCTACCCCGACCCAATATAACACGAATACTGATATAACGCGGTAAAGCAGTGCTCCGGGGAGGGGGGGGGGGGGGGGGGCTGCGCACTCCGACGGATCAAAGCAAGTTCGATATAATGCGGTTTTACCTATAACGCAGTAAGATTTTTTGGCTCCCGTGGACAGCGTTATATCGAGGTAGAGGTGAAGTTAATAAAATACAACATGAAAACTGCCTGTGGAGGGAAGTTTCTGTACATCGCTTTCCAAAAACTTTCAGAAAATGATTCAAATACATACAAAAATGTTAACATTCCAAAATTCTGAAAGCAAAGATGATCAACAGTCAATGCTTAAATCATGGGGAAGCCTCCCAGACACACATTAAAACAATGGCACAACTCATTTCGTCTCATTAGGCCAGGAGGTGGTTTTCAAACCCGATACTGGGTTCAATATTTCAACTAAACTAAGCCAATTCATCACAATCACTCTGTATGCACTCAGTGAACAGACACATGAAAACTAACTTGCATGTCTTTTTAGGAGATTTGAGACAAGATTTTAGTTTCAATGACATGGTTAATGGAAACATGAACTGCAACAGCAGCAAGGATGGGTATTAAATTCTCTCCCCCACTATACTCCTTTGGAGCAGCAACCCATCTTTGCACAAAACATCACACTGTCATAAACTCATTCATCAGGGAGCCCACAGTCACCCCAGCCAAAGAGACATTCTTGTGGTTTCTACTGGCAGAGATTGCAACAGCTCTTTATAGGTAGTCTGCCTATTTCTTTTAGCTTCTTACAGACTCCTCTTTGCGAAGATGGAAAAAGAAAAGCTAGCTTCAGTGCCTTTTCAGCAATTAAACTAAAAGATGCCTGTATTGGCCAGGGTTTTCTTTACAGTTGTTTGGTATAGAAATGAAGATTAAAAGGGACAGTGTTAATTTGAAAATCACTTCTGTTTTGCACCTGCTATTACTACAGATAACACCTAAGACTATCATAATTAAGCAGTCTAGAGAAAAAAAAGTCTCTAATTTTTCCACGTTTATTTGGTAAATTTGGCAGCATAGCGTGGAGTCTGTTTCAATGTTTTGTTCATCAGTTGCTCTTCCAGTCTAATATACCGGTACGTCACCACCACTGATGCAATGTTCTGACAGGGGTGAGGGAGAAGAACTCACACACACACTTTCACACCCCTGCACAAAGGTTTTTACCCATAGTAGCTGCAACAAAACTGAAACTAAATCTGAAAAGTCAACAGGTAGGCATATAACCAGAAAGAAAAAATAGGAGAAAGAGAGGTAAGCCTGAGCACATTTGATGTTGCACTTGGGTGCACCCTAAAGGCTGTTCTTAACATCAACAGTGAGGTAGAAAAATTAAGGCTGTCAAACGATTAAAAAAATTAATTGCGATTAATCGCACAAATAAAAAAATTAATCGCACTGTTAAACAATAATAGAATATCATTCATTTAAATATTTTTGGATGTTTTCTACATTTTCAAATATATTTATTTCAATTACAACACAGAATACAAAGTGTACAGTGCTCACTTCATATTTATTTTTGTTTACAAATATTTGCACTGTAAAAAAACAAGAAATAGTATTTTTCAATTCACCTCATACAAGTACTGTAATGCAATCTCTTTATCATGGAAGTTGAACTTACAAATGTAGAATTATATAAAAAAACTGCACTCAAAAATAAAACAATGTAAAACTTTAGAGTCTACAAGTCCACTCTGTCCTACTTCTTGTTCAGCCAATCAGACAAACAAGTCTATTTACACTGTCAGGAGGTAATGCTGCCCGCTTCTTGTTTACAATGTCACCTGAAAGAGAGAATAGATGTTTGCATGGCACTGTTGTAGCCGGCGTGGCAAGATATTTATGTGCCAGATGTGCTAAAGCTTCGTATGTCCCTTCATGTTTCAACCACCATTCCAGAGGACATGCGTCTATGCTGATGACGGGTTCCACTCAATAACGGTCCGCACTACTTTGGATTGACGCATGTTCACTTTCATCATCATGAGTCAGATGCCACCAGCAGAAGGTTGATTTTCTTTTCGGGTGGTTCAGGTTCTGTAGTTTCCGCATCGGAGTGTTGTTCTTTTAAGACGTCTGAAAGCATGCTCTACACGTCATCCCTCTCATATTTTGGAAGGCACTTCAGATTCTTAAACCTTGGGTCAAGTGCTGTAGCTATCTTTAGAAATTTCACATTGATAACTTCTTTGCGCTTTTGTCAAATTTGCAGTGAAAGTGTTGTTAAAACGAACAACGTGCTGGGTCATCCAATACTGCTATAACATGAAATATACGGCAGAATGTGCGTAAAACAGAGCAGGAAACATACAGTTCAGTCAAAAATTGAATTAACACTTTTTTTTTTAAAACGGGCATCATAAGCATAGAAGCATGTCCTCTGGAATGGTGGCCGAAGCATGAAGGGACATATGAATGTTTAGCATATTTGGCACATAAATACCTTGCAATGCCGGCTACAAAAGTGCCATGCAAATGCCTGTTCTCACTTACAGGTGACACTGTAAATAAGAAGAGGGCAGCATTATCTCCCGTAAATGTAAACAAACTTGTTTGTCTTAGCGATTGGTTGAACAAGAAATAGGACTAAGTAGACTTGTGGACGCTAAAGTTTTACACTGTTTTGTTTTAGAGTACAGTTATGTAACAACAACAACAACAACAACAACAAAAATCTACATTTGTAAGTTGCACTTTCATGATAAAGAGATTGCACTATGGTACTTGTATGAGGTGAATTGAAAATTGAGGAGTCACCTACGTGTTATAACCTAACGTGGAGGGTTTGTCAGTTGCCTAGCATGCTTTACTCAGTGTTCTTGCTCATCAACACACTATCGATATAATTTGCTCGCAAGACACACACGGCAACTGCCAAAGCTGGGCGTTACAGTATCGACGGCTTCGACCTGTTGTGCCATGTGGCACACCCAAAGCACGGCCAAGCCACATACATTCAAGCCGATATCGCAGATGCCACTCAGCTATTATCTACTGAATTCTGTGACACCATCCAGGTTGGCGGTATCTGGCTAGCAAATGTTTACAAGCCTCCAAGCATCAGCTGGAACCAACAGGTTCTACCAAGTGTGCCACACCCAGCTGTCTATGTTGGAGACTTCAACAGCCATCACACAGACTGGGGGTATAAGGAGGTTGACACTGACGGTGAACAACTTGCAGCCTGAGCATCTCGAAATGATCTCACCCTTATCCATGATGCTAAGCTGCAAGGCACGTTCCATTCTTCTAGATGGGTGTCACGGAGAGTGGGGGGACACCAGGCCCTGCACCCCCGGCTTCCTGCGATCCACCATGACTCTCAGCCAGCCAGTAAAGCAGAAGGTTTATTTAGACGACAGGAATACAGTCCAAGACAGGTCTTGCAGGTGTAGACTACAGGACCCCCTCAGTTAGGTCCATCTTGGCGTCCCCGGGCACCCTAGCCCCCCTGGGAGGTCAGAGCCCCGTCTGCCTCCCAGCCATGGTCACTAGCCAGCTCCCGAAACTCTGCCTTCAGCGACCCCTCCCACAGCCTTTGTTCAGTTTCCCGGGCAAAGGTGTTGCCTGGCCTCTAACCCCTTCCTGGATTCTCATGTTACATTTTCAGGTATTCTCCGTCGGTCAGTCTCCCATCCCCCAATGCAGACTATCCTAGCCACACTCCCCTGTCAGCATTCAAAGCCCACAGTAAGAACAGTCCCAGTTCGTCACAATGGGATCATGACTATTCTCCTGACTTGTGCTGGGTCAGTTCAGTTCATGGCCATCCTCAGCCAGCAACATACCAAGTCTTGAATAACTTTCCACACAGCCAACAGAGATTGTTGCTGATCCATATAGGGCTACAGCTCCCAGTTGTCAAGAGTTCCAAAAAGAAGCAGTGGAACTTCCAAAAGGCTGACTGGGGAAGATATAGGGAAGCACTGGAGAAGAGTGTGGTGACAATACCAGCCCGGCATATCTTGGTAAATGAGACCGACCATCGCTTCTGTGGTGCTATCTATAAAGCAGCCTGCAGAGCCATCCCACGTGGTTGCTGCCTGGTCTACATCCCGTTTTGACGATGAGAGCGCTGCCTTGCTTGAGCAGTATGAGGCATCTGGTGACCCAGAAGTCGCTGATCATCTGATCGAATCATTGGACACTGCTCGCCGAGCCAGATGGGAGGAGATGACCGAGAGAATGAGCTTTATCCACTCCAGCTGCAAGTGTTGGAGTCTGCTCCAATGCCTTGGAGTAGCACAGCAGCCACTTGCACTCTGCCAACCCTCTGTGACACCCAACCAGGATACCTACTTAAAGTGGCCAGATCACCTTTGGAGAAACAGGTGCGAAGACAAGTGAGGAACGAATGGCGTAGGTTTAAACGTGTACACCAGATCAGAAGCTGCCCAGAACCATTCACTGTAACAGACACTGGGTAGCATCAAGTGTGGAACAGCTGCGGGCTATGACAACATATTTCCAGAATTCCTGAAAAACCTTGGCCCTTGGCATCTTTCAAACTATGTTTATGCCAAGTACAGGTGTCTCACTAGTAAACGTTGTGAATTACTACTGCTAACTTATCCAGATAGATGGTAGAATTTTCAGGAGCCAGGCTATAATTTAAAACTTTTATACCAAGTTATTCAATATAGTGCTGAAACAGCAGATCAAGCTGCAAATCCTTTCTCCACCTCTACACTATGGTTGCACTTGTACTACACACTACATATTAAAACTCAACACCAAGTTCTAGTAATATGTGCAAGATGTCTTATAAAGGTCCACTTTACCTCATCAAAGAATGTCCAGACAACTCTTCCAAAGTGCTATCAGTATCTGCATTCTGCTCAGGGTCTCTATTAGAAACTCTGCTATTAGGCAAGGACTTCTTTGCTTGCTGGGACCCACGGTCTGACTCAGATACTATTTTGTCGTCTTCCACAGGAAAGTGGTGTGAACTTCCATTGAAAGATTCTATCCCTGCAAAGTATAATACCGGCAAAGTTAAATCCAAAGTTCAGCAGTTATTAGCTACAAAGAAACAATTGAGTGAACGTTTCCCTCACTTAAAAAGGGCCTTGTCTAGCCTAAAGTGCTCTTAAATAAATATGGCACCTTTTTACTCAAGACTAGCTCCTGTTCTGAATCACATCTACTTAAATTTAGTAATAGAGTGCCTGTTGCACTGCAGAGCCAATCCAGCCATGAATGTATAATAGCCAATTCTGTTCTGCCTCACACATTCTTCATCAAAATAGTTAGCTAAACCCCAACTGCACACACAATTACAGGCAACTTAAACTGAAAATATCAGTTTTTGTGGTGGTGGTGGTGGTGGTTAGAAAAATTCCTATCTTGACTTGCACACTGAGGAATTCTGATACAGAAGCCACAGAGAAAATATGGAACCTCCAACGATACAATTTCTTTTCTGACTGTAACCACATTTTAAAATTTAGTATTCTCATCTTACTGTCCATTATTTGTTTTTTTAAAAGCATAAAACTAATTTCCCATTTGTCAAATCATATTTTGCTCCGTTTCTAATGTAACAGAAACTACTGTAAGAGGCTTGATATTTATTTATGCATAAGCTACAGATGTTTCATAGCCTAATGATGGACTATATATTGTATAGGGTGGCCATTATTTTAATTTCACAGCAGCTGAATGGATTTTTTAAAATTAATTTTAGAATTTGAGGATAATCCCTAGGTTATATAAAAAAAATAAAGCTAGGTAATTTTTAGACAGTTTGCTTAATATAGCACATTTTATCACGATACTATTAAGTTTCTCAACTGTTTGTTTTTAGAAGTTACTATATGACAAGGCCAAAAAAAGGATCACCCCAAACTGTACAGTGAGGTTTCTGGTAGAAATAGCGTTAACAACTCGGTTTCAATATTCACCAAATTTGTAACAGACTGAGTTACAAATGAGCATCTTACATGGTCAAAGCATGAGAAAGTAACTGCTGAAAACAGACATTTGCTTTCTCTTTAGAATAGTAATGTAATGGAAGCAGACATTTTCATACAGGGTTAAGAGTAAACAAGGCTTCCTACTATACTGGTACTAGATTACAGATGCTGTACCATCAACCCCTGGATAAGTGAAAATGCTTAATCAATCACACTAAATAATCCCAGAAAAAATCCTTTAAAAATGTGAGCATACGAAAATAACCAGCTGACAAAAGTGATAAAAGTGAGTCTACACTCGGCACTGTACTTACTTTCCTTTTTCCCTCTCCTTTTAGAAGATCCAGATGAGCGAGAAGATGCTGCAGACCAGGGTCCAGGTGAATGCTGGGAGGTTAGCTCTATAGATCGGTGTTCATGGGGAGACTTCCTGCTGGGAAGCTCTTCTTGAATGCTGGAATTGCTGCTGCCACTGATACTGCCATAGAACAAAAAACACTAGCAGAAGATTCCCAACTCCTCTCTTCCATGCCACAAGAAATCTACATGACTTTCTTGAGGAGACAGATGACTAAAATCAGGGCCAATTTTATATTGCCGCATTACAAATCCATCTTGAGAAACAAGATGACTTTTGCTATTAGATATTGGTAGCAAGTTGCTAGGACACTCAGAACTTAGGGTATGACTATACTACCTGCCGGATCGGCGGGCAGTGTTTGATGTATCGGGGATCGATTCATCGCGTCTCATCTGGACGTGATAAATCGATCCGCGAATCGACACCCATACTCCACCTTGGCAGGAGGAGTAAGCGGAGTCAACGAGGGAGCCGCGGCAGTCAACTTGCCGCCGTGAGGACGGCCAGGTAAGTCGAACTAAGATACTTCGACTTCAGCTACGCGACTAGCGTAGCTGAAGTTGCGTATCTTAGTTTGAACCACCCCGCTAGTGTATCCCAGGCCTTAGACCTGATTCTGTGTACACTGAAATTCAGCCGATGTAAAATTACAAAAGACGGATATTTGCATAATTTCAGATACAAGTTTTTATGGGCATTCAATTACAGATTTGGATACACATATGTATTACCCTTAAGTTGATGGAAATCTAAATTACACATGGACGTCTGATATTATTGATAAACTTGTAGAACTATAGACTTTTTCAATAGGGTCATGCATTTATGAAAAAAATTAAAGGGATAGTCTTATGTGAAAGGTGGTAAGTTGTATTAGAAGCTAAATTGTAATATTTGTTTTCTTCGGTAAGAGAACATTTTTACAGCTAGCCATATAATGAAAATGAAAAATGTGCTCAGTCCTCCACTTATTCAGGCCTAGACAAAAACTGTAGACAAACATGTTGCTGCCCTCCTTCCCCACAAAGTTGTTAGGGTTGTCGCTTCTCACCTGTCTCCAAACCCCTCAAATCTGAGCTATAAAGATGGAAAATTCGATGTCGCTGAATTTTGAAAAAAAATTTGAAAAAAATTCAGCAAGAAATTTGAATAAAACGGTTACTTACCTTTCTGTAACTGTTGTTCTTCGAGATGTGTTGCTCCTATCTATTCCAGTTAGGTGTGTGCGCGCGCCACGTGCACGGATGTCGGAAACTTTTACCCTAGCAGCTATCCGCCGGGCCGGCTGGGGAGCCCCCTGGAGTGGCACCAAAATGGCGATCTATATAAGCCCCTGCCAGCCCGACCCCCCTTCAGTTCCTTCTTGCCGGTTACTCCGACAGAGGGGAAGGTGGGGGGAATGGAATAGATATGAGCAACACATCTCGAAGAACAACAGTTACAGAAAGGTAAGTAACCGTTTTTTCTTCTTCGAGTAATTGCTCATATCAATTCCAGTTAGGTGACTCCCAAGCCTTACCTCGGAGGTGGGGTCGGAGTCAAGGAACTGCAGATTGAAGGATCGCTCTGCCAAAGGCTGCATCATCCCGAGAGTGCTGGATGATGGCATAGTGGGATGTGATGGTATGAACCGAGGCCCACGTGGCAGCTCTGCAGATTTCCTGGAGAGGAATGTGTGCCAGAAAGGCAGCTGACGACGCCTGAGCTCTTGTGGAGTGAGCCGTAACAGCAGGCGGAGGGACATTTGCCAGGTTATAGCAAGCACGAATACACCCGGTAATCCACGAAGATATTCGCTGAGAGGAGACCGGGGTGCCTTTCATCCATTCCGCAATGGCGATGAACAACTGAGTTGTTTTACGAAAGGGCTTTGTCCGGACTATATAGAAGGCGAGTGCCCTTCTAACGTCGAGAGAATGGAGGCGTTGTTCACGTAGGTCAGCATGCGGTTTTGGGTAGAAAACCAGTAGGAAGATATCCTGGCTCACGTAGAAGCGGGACACCACTTTTGGTAGAAAAGCCGGATGAGGTCTTAGTTGGACTTTATCTTTATGAAAGATGGTATAGGGCGGCTCACACATGAGAGCCCGTAGTTCGGAGGGATAGAGAAGAAAGCAGGTGGCCAGCGGCTCGAAAGGAGGGCCCATAAGACAGGAGAGGACCAAGATAAAGGTCCCATGCAGGTAAGGGTGGCTTCGTTGGAGGATGGATTTTCTCCAGGCCTTTGAGGAAACGCCGCACGACCGGGTGTGCAAACACCGAGCGCCCCGCTGCGCCTGGGTGAAATGCAGAAATGGCCGCAAGGTGGACCTTAAGGGATCCAAAGGCTAGGTGCTGGTCCTTTAAGGACATCAGGTAGTCCAAGATGCACGGAATGGAAGCCTGGGGCGGGGGCACCTGCCACTGAGCGCACCAGCTGGAAAACCTCTTCCACTTAGCCTTGTAGGTAAGCCTAGTCGACGGCTTGCGACTTTCCAGAAGCACCCACATTACCGAATCCGAACTGGCGCGTTCAGCCTGGTTCAGCCACGGATCCTCCAGGCCATGAGGTGGAGCGACTGAAGGTCCGGGTGTAGGAGACGACCGTGGGTCTGGGAGATGAGGTCGGGGTCGAGAGGAAGGCGTAGAGGGGCCTGAATTGACAGGTCCAGCAGGGTTGGGTACCAACACTGACGCGGCCAGGCAGGGGCTACCACTATGACATCTGCCTTATCCCGGCAGATCTTGAGGAGCACCTTGTGAACCAGCGGGAATGGTGGGAAGGCATACAGCAACTAGCCCAACCACGTGATCTGAAAGGCGTCCGCTAACGAGCAAGGGCTGACACTCCGGAAGGAGCAGAAAACTGGACACTTTCTGTTGGTCCGCAAAGCAAACAAGTTGATTCGGGGAAATCCCCAGGTGCGGAAAATGGAATGATATCCGGGCGTATGGACCATTCGTGAGTCAGAAAACGCCTGCTCAAAGTATTCGCCAGAACGTTTTGGACACCCGGCAGGTACAAGGCCTGAAGGTTGACGGAGTGGGCTAAGCAGAAGTCCCACAGAAAGAGGGCTTCTTGGCAGAGCCGCGATGACCGAGCTCCGCCTTGCTTGTTCAGGTAGAATATGGCCGTGGTGTTGTCCGTTAGGACTGCTATGCAGTGGCCCCGCAAGTGGGGAAGAAAGGCTTGGCACGCAAGGCGGATCGCCCTGAGTTCTCTGATGTTGATGTGCAGCGACAGCTCGCTCTCATGCCATAAGCCCTGCATTGTCAGGCTGCCGAGGTGGGCTCCCCATTCCAGGGCAGATGCATCTGTAACCAGAGTCAAAGTGAGTTGGGGTGGATGGAACGGGACCCTGGCACCCACCATCTGAGGGTCCAGCCACCACTGCAGGGAGTCGAGTGTGCACTTTGGGACCGTGAGGACCATTTCTAGGCTGTCGTGTCCCGGTCGATAGGCAGACGCCAACCACGTCTGAAGCGGCCTGAGCCTTAGCCTGGCACGTTGCACCACGTATGTACAGGATGCCATGTGACCCAGCAGCCTGAGGCACTGCCTTGCTGTGGTGGTGGGAAACTTGCAGAGGCTGGTAATTATGCTTGCTATAGCCAGGCGCCGTGCTTCCGGAAGGAAAGCCCTCGCTTGGTTTGCATCCAGGACTGCTCCTATAAACTCTATAGTTTGAGTAGGGGCGAGGACGGACTTGCTGAGGTTTACCATGATACCCAAGCGAGTGAACGTGTCCATGAGTAGGGGTACCTGCGACTGGACGTGATGGTGAGACCGGCCCCGTATAAGCCAGTCGTCTAGGTACGGGAAGACGTGTACGTGGTGTCAGCAAAGGAAGGCAGCCACGACCGCCATGCACTTGGTAAAGACGCGGGGGGCTGTGCACAAGCCAAACAGGAGGGCTGTGAACTGATAGTGCGTCTTGTCCACCACAAAACGGAGGAAACATCTGTGAGGCGGAGTAATCGATATGTGAAAGTATGCGTCTTTCATATCGAGGGCGGCATACCAGTCTCCCGGATCCAGTGAAGGGATGATAGTGACTAAGGAGACCAAATGGAACTTCAGGTTGACGATGTACTTTTTGAGCTTCCTGAGGTCCAGAATAGGTCTTAGGCCTCCCTTTGCCTTGGGGACAAGGAAGTAGCAGGAGTAAAAACCCTTGCCGCTGAGCTCCCGAGGAACTTCCTCCACTGCCCCTAGGGCAAGGAGGGATTGAATCTCCTGGATGAGGAGTTGCTCGTGAGAAGGGACCCTGAAGAGGGACAGGGAAGGGGGGGTGGGAGGGCGGGATGGAATGGAAATGGATAGAATATCCCATCTGCACCATGTGGAGGACCCAACGGTCCGAGGTAATATGGGACCAGGCATGGTAGAAACGGGATAGACGGTTCAGAAAGGGATAACTGTCTCGGGTAAGAACTGGTAATCCGTCCTCTGGCGCACCTTCAAAATGGGCGCTTAGGGCCCGCGGGTGGCTTAGACTGTCCTTGACCTTGTCCAGAGGAGGGGCGAGACAGTCTACATCGAAAGTATCTACCTCTGCGACGAGACGGGTCCTGCCTCGGTCTAGGAGAGAAAGGACGTTGCTGGGTGGTCTGTGGCCTAAAGGGCTTCCTCTGGTTAGCCGGGGTATGCATACCTAGGGACTTAATGGTGTTTCTCGTGTCCTTTAAGGTATGCAGGCGGGAGTCAGTTTGATCCGCAAACAAGCCCTGGGTATCGAAAAGGAGGTCCTGGATGGTATGCTGGACCTCGGGCAGGAGGCCAGAGGACTGAAGCCAGGCATTCCGCCGCATAGCGATTCCTGACGCCAGAGTGCGCACAGCTGCGTCCGCAGCATCGAGGGAACCCTGGAGGGAGGTCCTAGCAACCAGTTTACCTTCCTCAGCAATGGCCCCCAGTTCTGTACGAGCCTCTGCTGGGAGAAGATCTTGGAATTTGAGGACCTCAGACCAAGAGTTAAAATTGTACCTACTGAGGATCGCCAGCTGGTTAGCAATCCACAGCGAGAGACCCCCAATAGAATAAACCTTTCTCCCAAAAAGGTCCAGCCGTTTTGAGTCTTTTGATTTGGGAGCAGGCCCTTGCTGGCCCTGTCTCTCCCTGGCATTTACCGTGTCTACCACAAGCAAACATGGGGCAGGGTGGGTAAAAAGGTACACCTCTACCCCAATATAACGCTGTCCTCAGGAGCCAAAAAATCTTACTACATTATAGGTGAAACTGTGTTATATCGAACTTGCTTTGATCCATCAGAGTGTGCAGTCCGGCCCCCCCCGGAGCGCTGCTTTACCGCGTTATATCCGAATTCGTGTTATATCGGGTCGCGTTATATCGGGGTAGAGGTGTATTCATAACCCTGGTGGGGACAAAGTACTTTCTTTCTACCCCCTTAGCTGTGGGGGGAATGGAGGCTGGGATTTGCCAGAGAGTCTTTGCATTGTTTTGGATGGTTTTATTCATGGGAAGGGCCACCCTGGAGGGCCCTTCCGGGCCTAGAATGTCCACCATGGGATCCTCATCCTCCACAACCTCCTCAATTTGGAGGTTCATATTGAAGGCCACACGCCTCAGCAATTCTTGGAGGACCCTAAAGTCCATCGGGGGTGGCCCAGACGTGGACGTGCCAGCCACAGCCTCATCAGGGGAGGACGAGGACGACTCCACTGGGAGGGCCGGTGCGGATGTAGCATCCTGGTCGGACATGGGTGGCTCCTCCTGGGGAGCTGGGGTAGCCTCTATCGCAGGTGCTGGCTCCACAGTTTGGTCTGGGTCAGGAGGAGGACAGCTGAGAGTTGCCTCAGGAGGCATGGCGCTCGAGCGAGACGGCGGCCGGGCAACTGGGGGAGCGCCCTGGGCTTGATGGTATGCCCAGGGTGTCCAAAACTGCCACTGGGACTGCCAGTGGGACGCTGGTGGAACTTGGCCGAGGCTCCCTGGGCCAGAATGAGGGATGTCCGAGACCCCTGAGGCTCTCTCCGAACTGCCAGAAGGGGATCAGGACTGCGACGGCCAAGGAGGGGCGGTGCGGGAGTGGACTAAAGCAGGCACCGAGTCTCTTGGAAGGCGCAGGTCGTGCCGGGATCAGCGCCGTGAGGCTGATCGCGACCGGTGCCATGTTGGCGAACGGTGCCGCGCTGGTGAGCGGTGCCGCACTGGTGAGCGGTGCAGTGACGGGGAGCGGTGTTGGACCGCGGACCGGTGCCGTGGCGATCGTTGACGCGGGGATTGGGAACCCGTACCTCTTCGGTCCGAGCGGTGCCACGAGGTCACCAGTCGTGACCTGGACCTCGAGCGGGACCATGTTCGCGCAGTTGAAAGCGACCTTGAGCGGGAATGGCTCTGAGGTTCGAGACCACGGGATCAGCGCCGCGAGTCAGACCGAGACCTGGGGCTGTGCTGGGACTCAAAACGGCGCCGGGACTCTGAGCAGGAATGAGATGCTGGTCTGAGGGCTGACAGCCCGAACATCGCCGGTTTGCCCTTGGATGGCACAGGGACCCGTGCTGGGACCGGAGTCACCAGAGCAGTCATCTCGATGAGACCTCTCGCCGCCTCTAAGGTGTCCGGCGTGGACGGTAGAATGATCTCTTCTACTTGCACCGTCCCGTGTGGAGGGGTGGCCTGAAGAGATCTAGGCATGGTGGCCTGCTTAGAGGTCTGGCCAGGGTCTTGCTCTGTCGGGACCTTGGTAACTGTCTTAATCCTAACAGGGGGTCCTCCCACGGCTTGCTTCTTGGCAGCAACAAGGGAATGGGAACGGTGCCGAGGTGGACGTTTTTGGGGCCTGGGAGATCGCCGGTCCCGAGATGAGCGCGGGATCTTCTGCGGTGCCGAAGATGGTACCGCTGGAGGGACGCTCCGTACCGACGCACTCGGGCCCGCGTCTTGAGAGGGCCGCAGGGCCGACTCCATGAGGAGTTGCCTAAGACGAAACTCCCTCTCTTTACGCGTCCGGGGTTTGAACGCTTTACAAATCCTGCACTTGTCCGCTTGATGGCCCTCCCCCAGACACCTGAGACAGGAATCGTGGGGGTCGCCCGTAGGCATGGGCCTGTTGCAAGACTTGCAAGGCTTGAAGCCCTGAGACGGCATGCCCCAGGGCCCCGCAGGGCAGTCGTTGACGAGACTGCCCTCAACAGCTAAACTACACTTAATACTATAGAAAAACAATTAAAACTTACTAACTACTAACTATTTACAATGAAGATAAGAGAACGCTAGGGATAAGTGGAACACTTGATAAGACAAGAGATCACTCTTCCAACAACCGTCACAGGCGGTAAGAAGGAACCAAAGGAGGGTCGGGCCAGCAGGGGCTTATACAGATCGCCATTTCGGCACCACTCCAGGGGGCTCCCCAGCCAGCCCGATGGGTAGCTGCTAGGGTAAAAGTTTCCGACATCCGTGCACGCGGCGCACGCACACAACTAACTGGAATTGATATGAGCAATCACTCGAAGAAGAACCAACCATTTTCACAATAAATTGGAAGATCTGGAATGTCATGGTCTTGAAATTCCAAGCAGCTACAGAAAAGGTTTCAAAATTCTATCAGAATTTTAAAAAAATATATTTCTGTTACTAAACCTTACTGGAACCTTGAAAAAATTCTAGACATTTACAACAACTACTACAAAAAGACAAAAGAACGAGGAGTACTTGTGGCACCTTAGAGACTAACAAATTTATTTGAGTATAAGCTTTCGTGGGCTAAAACCCACTTCATCGGATGCATGCAGTGGAAAATACAGTAGGAAGATATATATACACAGAGGACATGAAAAAATGGGTGTTGCCATACTAACTATAATGAGAGTAATCAAGTAAGGTGGGCTATTATCAGCAGGAGAAAAAAAACTTTTGTAGTGATAATCAGGATGGCATTTTTCTATGTCCTCTGTGTATATATATCTTCCTACTGTATTTTCCACTGCATGCATCCGATGAAGTGGGGTTTAGCCCACGAAAGCTTATGCTCAAATAAATTTGTTAGTCTCTAAGTGCCACCAGTACTCCTCGTTCTTTTTGCTGATACAGACTAACATGGTTACCACTCTGAAACCTACAAAAAGACCGTAATAAATTATAAGTTGGCAATTATATAGGGCTTAATATCTTCAAAATGTTTTGAACATTAAGCCTCATAACAGCTATGAAAGCTTAGGAACTATTATTCTCACATTCTACAGATGGGGCAACAGACCCAGAAGAGTTAAGTGACTTGCCCAAGCCCACATAAGAAGTCAGGGCAGAACCAGGATTAGGTTTCAGGAGTACTCAATTCTCTGTCCTACACTGCTTGCTCCGAGGCCATGTGGCTTGACATATTAGCTGTGTAGGCCACAGATACAGCAGAACCTCAGAGTTATGAACCCCAGAGATATGAACTGACCGGTCAACCACACACCTCATTTGGCACCAGAAGTACGCAATCAGGCAGCAGCAGAGACCAAATAAATAAATACATAAATAAATAAAGCAAATACAGTACAGTACTGTGTTAAATGTAAACTACTAAAAATAAAGGGAATTAAAAAATAAAAATAAAAAAGATTTGACAAGGTAAGGAAACCGTTTCCTTAAATTAAGATGGTAAAAACTGCCATTTTTCTTCTGCATAGTAAAGTTTCAAAGCTGTATTAAGTCAATGTTTAGTTACAAACTTTTGAAAGAACCATAATGTTTTGTTCAGAGTTATGAATGTTTCAGAGTTATGAACAACCTCCATTCCTGAGATGTTCCTAACTCTGAGGTTCTACTGTAAATAGTTTGCCAAATCCTACTGTAAGGAATCGCCTTTTTCACTAATGGGATAAAATAGTGTAACAGTACCCTTTTGGGGGCTATCCACACATTACTTGATGCAAAAGGGAAGCTGCTTATAAGTACTCTCAAAAATTCAGTATCATTTTTCATTTAGATTTTCTCCAAATGTTTCTACATAATTACCTAGGCTCAAGAGCAATCTGTTTGTCTGTCAAAGTTCCACTGCCCTGTGATGAAACAAAGTCATCTTCATACGAAACAACACTATCTGGAGGGCTCATGGTAGGAAGTAAAGGTCGCAAGATTGGAGACCCTCCATTTGACCTTTCCTCAAATCCTGTGAAAAAGGGGAAAAAAATAAAATAAAAAAAATAAGACAGTTGATACTAAACTCCATGTAGCTCACATGACAGGCAATGAGGCTGCAGGCCTTAAATACTTCCACCAGTACTGAGCAAGAAAGAATGTCTTCCCAAAAGAAGCATGCTAAATGAACATGATAGAACTGCCATTGGATGTCTAATACACAATGTCAACTATATTCTGCCTCTTTTCTATACTGAAGTAACAAGCCACTTAGAAAACATTATCTGAATAACATGATGCTTGGGAGTGGAGCCATCTGGAGAGCTAGAGGGAGTAAATTCCATCATCTTTGAAGAATGAAAAAAATAATCCAAAAGGACATAATGTAAACTAACTTGTGGAAAACATTCAGCAGCAAATGACTACAGTACCTGAAGGCAAGAGCAAGTGCCTCACAGAGGAGAATTAAGTGCACTGGTAAAAGGACAGAATAGCTATGTACAAGAATGGAATGCAATGTCCTGCATGAAAATTCTGGAAAATATGCAACAAGGCACCAAATAGAGCAATTAACACTATAAACTTGCTCACTTAGTAAGAAAGATCCTGCCTATTGATATACCACCAGCGCCTAATCTATGAAGACCAGAGATTGCTACAGAGATCTCAGTTCATTAACTGTCTGTTGTCTGCCAAACTATTTTTCAGAGCTACCACTGGATAAGACAACATATGAAGAGTTAAAGTTAAAAAAAAAAAAAAAAAAATCTACCCTCTACCAAAGTAACCTACCCCTGATTGTGCAGCATTATTTCGGTGAGCAAAGAGAATCTGGCATATATACAGTCACTGACATTACTACTTGCAAATAATATGCATTCCATCTTCCTGGAATAACTGAAATGGGAAGAGAACGGGATGAAATGCTGTTAAAGCTTTGGCACAAAGCTTGATCCTTTTGTTAGAAATAACTCACTTAAGAAATCGCATCGGTGGGATTGGTGGGTGGATTTGAAATGGAGCAGTGGTAGGAGGAAGCATACTCCCAACCACTGGCTCAGCTCTCCCTGTTGGCTCCACTTGCCCAGCTACATTAAAGAAACCTGAAAAGAAAGAAGAGGGGCAGGACTTACCTTTTTCTCAGCCTCAAGACCCTTTTACTATTTAATTTAAAAAAAAAAGCTTTCCAACCCAGAAGCTGGCAAAGTGGTCTGAAAATAGTTATAGATGCCAAACTGAAAGATGTCCACAACAGCATGCATCTGAAGTATATTTAAAGGGACACTGAGCATATATGGAATTGAGATGAACAGAATGGGGAGGGAAAGAGAAAAATACAAGTGGCTTACAAAGAAGTAGTAGTTAGGGAGATTTCTATGGAGAAATTGTTTGGTATTGTCAGGGGTGAAGTCATCTATCAAACACATTCTGATCCTCAAACCCAACCCAAGATAGTTAGGTGTAGCATAGTACTTTGGATATGACAAGATACCTGATAAAACCTAAGTATACAATTCTAAAAATATATAAAATTAACTTGTACCACATATAGTTCAATGTTCTAAAATCATGTTAAATACATTTTAAAAATACAATTCACTCCCAAATTAGACTGTGTTGCATTTAACAGTTGAATAGGTCCAACGTTCTAATTACCTACACTCTGCAGGAGTGTAGCAACCTAAACACAAAAGCAGTCTTCTGCTTCCAAAAACAATGGAATTCTTTTCATGGAGCAGGAAAAAATAAAATCAGGTCAATCACTTATTACTCAAAACTACATCCATAAAACTTTCCTGTGAATCGTAAAAATGGCCATAGCAGATCAGAGCAATGGTCCACCTAGGTCAGTATCTGGTCTTCCGACAAGGGTCAATGCCAGGTGCTTCAGAGGGAATGAACAGAACAGGTAATCGAGTGATTCATCCCGTATTGTCCACAACCAGCTTCTGGCAGTCAGAGACTAGGGACATCCAGAGCATGGAATTGCATCCCTGACCATACTGGATAATAGCCACTGATGGACCTATCCTCCATGAACTTATCTAATTCTTTTTTGAACCCAGTTATAGTTTTGGCTTTCACAACATCCCCTGGCAACGAGTTCCAAGGTTGGCTGTGTATTATGTGAAGAAGTACTTCTTTTTGTTTGTTTTAAACCTGCTGCCTATTAATTTCATTGGGTGACCCTGGTTCTTGTGGAATAAATAACACTTCCTCATTCACACTTATGCCTTATTAACAGTTCCTTATTAATCCATCTTCATATTTATTGAGATTCTTGAAAACTGAGTCATCACCAGTGAATTCAACTACAAAATGCAGTCAATATGAAAATTATGAATATACACAAGATTCCCCGGTGTAATATTTCCATTTCTTTTCCTTACCTTTTCCATGTAGTTGGTAAGATTTTGCAAATATGTTGATGACACTATGTGGACTTCCCTTGGCCAGTTCCTCCCATGGTCCCTTGCTTTGTGTGCCACTTGTCTGTGTGAAAAGTGGTAAATACTTTTCTGCCTCCTTCTGAAACTCTTTTATGGGCTCAAAAGCAGTTCTCTCCCCAACACAGAACTCCTTTTCTTTTAACACCTCAACAATTTTCAAAGGAGACTGCCTACGTTGGTCACCTTCCTCCTCAGAGAGACTCCCCTCACTTAGAAGAGGTCCTTCACTGATTGAATCTGTGCTGGAATTGTGAGGAATTATGCCTTTGTTTTGACTATAAGCCTGATTTTCAGACCCAGGGGAGTCAGTTTGCCTCTTTGATAAATGTCCTAATATTCCTTCAGGTCTGTGACTCGCTGGGGATCTCATTCCAAGGCTGACTGCAGCAGTATGAGGCCTGATAGTCTCAGGGAGCTTTTTAAATTCACTAAGGTTGCCCACTCCAGGAAGGTTATCATCAAAGGTTGTATGAGACACACAAGTAACCAACATTTTCTGAATTCTGGCTGAGAAAACATCTTCATTATCCTCTCTCACAGGGGGACTCACAGCCTTAGCCCAGTGTCCATCATCCTGCTTCCCCAGCAGTAGTTGCTCAGAGTTCCACACTGAGCCATAGTTGATGCCAGCCCCAGCTAACTTCTTGGCTTCACTTTCAATTCTGCTAGACAAAGAAGCAGCTGTAGCTTTCAGGGCTTCAATACGATCCAGTTTACTCTTATATTGGCTGGCACCAGGCTTTACCAAGAGATCTTGCTGTGCAGCAGATGAAGTCAGGTAAGGCTGAGGTGTCAAAGTCAAGGATCCCACAGCTGTGTTGTGGTTCCTCCTGGTTGACAGTACTGAGTCAAAGTCCTTTGGCAAAAGGCCCATCTGCTCCAGATCCAAAAGCTGGGAGAAAAGTCCTCCACTTGAGCCAGCAAGAGGTTGTGGGTGAGAGAGTTGGACTCTTGGGCTCAGTCTATCTGGCTGTATCCACGTAGGCTCCATCAAATCATTTCTAGAATCAAAAGACAAGACTGAAATTTGTGACCAAGTGCAACATTTGTGAAGTACTAACAGCTCATGTGAACTTATATCTTTGCAACAAAAGTGTTTTTCACAGACATCAAAATACAACAATCTTTTGGGAAATAGAAATTATAGATGTACCAAAAATAAAAATGCGCTATACTGTATATACATAAAATATACAGCATATACATACAAAGTCTAAACACTCTCTTAAATTGCATTATGTTGTACCAGATAATATTCTTTGGTAAGAAAAAGCAAGGTTTTTGCAGAAGTTTACAGAATGCAGTTCAGATGACACCTTGCTTTCCCTGCCACTCCTGTCTTCCAAGCTCAGAGAATCCTCTCCAGTTTTACTCACATTACCCTCCCAACACTTCATAGCAACTGACGCACTGGGCAAGGACTAGACACATTTAGTGTGGAATATAAGCATATTCACAAATGTATAAATAAAATAAAAGTCTTTTATTATAGATACCTAAGTTTCCCCTAACTAGGGTTCTACAAATGCATCTCTCTTCCAGTGATCCAGTGTCTTGGAATTTCCTTCTTTAATCTTACTAGCATAGTCTGAATATTAGGTTTCCTGAGAAACCCACCAGCTAAGTCCTGCTTCTCAACTTACTACATGGCTCTCCAAATAAATTATGCAGCCATTCTAGTCTCCGTTCTTCCCTGTTATTAGCACCCACACCTAGGTATTGCTAAGGTGCTCATCACAGTAGTATATTAATATTGCATTATACCGCAATACCAGTGTAGTATTTGAACTATTACCACTTGAATTTCCTAGCCCTAGCTAAAACTCTTCCTGCCTAAGAGACAAGTATTGCTACACAACAAAACTGTGTTTTAATTTGACCAAGGTAATGAGATACATAAATTTAAGAAACGGTTAAGTGATCATGTAATTAAAGACCAGATCACAGGGCATACGTACAAGGGGACAGAGTTAAGGATGTGTATGTAGTCTTAACAGTCATTTCCTCACTTTTGCTTGTTTCAATGTGCATCCTGAATATTTTGTTAACATAAATTTGATTACATTTATTAAGTGGTGTCCATTAGTTTAAATGTCCAGAAAAGAAGACAGTTGATGTTCCAAAGGACTTACAACCTAAATTAGACAATATATCAAATGATCAGATGACAGTTCAGTGTCAAAACACTGCGCAGAGATTCCACTCCATGCTGCTTCTGACTTTAGTGAATTAATGAAAAGCGTTACAGAAAATGAGCAAGAGTCTGCTTGCCACACAAGAGGGAGAGAGATTATTTCATGTATGAAGGCAACAGTTGATGGTTATAAATTGAGTATTTTGGAGGAAGCAGAAGGGGGAAATAGGAGCAAGCTGGGGAATAGGAAGAAGTTAGACCAGAGATGCAAGCAGAAACAGACTTGTGTGGAGCCCTGAAGGTGAGAATCAAAAGTTGGAACCTCAGTCTGAAAGTGAGGAAGAAAATAATGAGGTGATTCAAATAGAGAATGCAATCTAACTGGCAGATATGGTTATATGATTACTTGTTCTTGCACTGGGGTGATGACAGAGGAAAGACCAGTCCCTGATGCGGAATGCACACCTCTCTGAGATATCTATAGAAGAATAACAGCAGCAGTTGATGTCAATTATATTTTAAATACTATTTATAGATGCTATAATTTTGAGGCAGATTGGTAATCAAAATTTATTTTTTTGTGCATCAGATTCCTGTACAACCTCAAAATAAAAGTTTATTACTGCACTTCAAATATTCCTACTGTCATAGAACACTTTTATATCACTAATCACTATAAAAGCAATCGTTTTAGAAGTGTACTATATGTTCTATGGAGAACTAGAAGTCTCTGACTGAAACGTCCATACCTACTTACCTAACAAGAGGCTGTGGAGGTTCCGACAGGGACATATCACTACTGGAAGATGCACTAGGAGGACGTTCTTGTGCCTTGTTTTCTTTGTCAGATTCCCCAGATGGTTGATATCCAGGCCTGGGCTAGAAATAAAAAGAAGACTCTAACAGCAAAATTTTCAGAAGCGCCTAAAGTGACTGAGGAGCTTAAGTCTCAATAAAGTCAAAGGGACTAGAAGAAACTCAGCATTAAAGTTTTACTAGCATGCAAAAATAGAAAAAAGGAGAGGGCATTCAAGATTTTTGTCCCAACAAAACTGACTGGTGGGACACAAGCTTTACTCACACACAGAGCCAGCCAAAGAGGAACCAGGAAAGTTAACAGTAATGACCTGTCACCAACAACCATGTTTCACATTCAGCCTCAAATAGCAATGAGTTGAATGACCTCAGTAGTCACAGCTCTGCCAAAGTAAGCTGAACTGAAGCCCCTCATTCAGTCTGAGGAGTTTTACTATATGCATTTCTTAAGTTTCAATCATTGTATCAGTTAAGCAATACATTAAACTCAGATGTTAGTTAGAATTACGAGAGACTGAATTTCCATTCACTATTATTGTGTGTCTTGCTGATGCGAGGAGATTCTGCAGTTTGTCTGTCTTGTGGGCGAATAAAATTTTGGTTTTTAGTATAGATCATTGTTTTCATGGGTATAATCTGCTTCTTTCCTTAACTGCTACCTTAATAAAGATAATTCAGGACCTTCCTAAGTATTCTACCCTCTATTTCTATGCCTATCTTTAAAATACTGAGGTAGTGAAACTGCCATACCTGCATTTCCTGCGCAAGAGAGAGCTGAGAAGTTTCCTCTAGCAAAGTGTGTTCCAGCAACAGTTTAGAATAGGTTTCCTGTAGTCGCCTAGCTGCTGAAGGTTCAGAAGTTGGCATGTTCTTTGCCTTAGCAAAAGCCTCTCTCTGTTTCTTGTAAAGCTCTTGAAGTCGTTTGTTCTTCCGTTCTGTTGCCTCTTTCTGTGCCTTCTTCTCTTCATTCTGCCTCCTCTTCCTCTCCTCTTGCTGTCTAATAATGTACTGGCGAACCTCATCTGTGTCATAGTGACGTTTCTTGGAGATAACTTGAGGCTCTTCACTAGCAGTTAACTTGTCTGGTTTCCTTTTTGTTGGACTGTGGCTCCTGGCACCTTGTGTAGGCAGTGCAGATTTCTGACTGTGCCTTTCCCCATCTTTCTCTTGCTTTGTACTTGGAATCACTGAGTCCAACTGCAGATCATCAAGAATTCCACGTATCTCTATAGGCAGAAAGTCCTTATTTAAGGAGGTATGGTCTTCATCTTGTTTACTATCTGGAAGAGTAGAGTCCAATTTCTTCAGGTTACTCTCAGACTGTACTTTACTCCTTGACCATTCAGAACTTCTTGGACAGGTTTTGTGGGTAACATCCAGTCTGGGATCTGACCCTGTCCTTCCAATAGGGCCTGCTAAAGAATGAAAGGTGTCAGATGCTACATCTAAACATTTTGAATGGGAAAGAAAGGTGAGGAGGGGAGATTTTCTTTGTTTCAAACTAATCACATAAAAATGGTCAATAATTGAAGAGCATAAAAAGTAAGGAGATGAACTAGTATTCTCTTGTCAGTTCCACTCGAAAGAGAAAACATCCTGTTTTATATATCAAAAGCACTGTACTAAAAAGCTTTGATATATAAAGCAAAGATCTGGGAAGTAGAAGCCACCACTGAAATATCTGCAAAAAATTGTAATGCACCAAGCAGAGCCAATGATGTCCAAAGCTCTTATATAAATTAGTACTAATTGGAAATGGATAGGCTGTAGCCAGGACACTGCTACCAAAATGCACATATTTTAATAGTTTCCATTAGCACTACTATAGTTAAGGATCTATCAGTTTATAATTAAATCCCTTCCGTACAGCTTTACAAATATGCTGTAAAGTTTGCTTCAGAATGAAACTAGACATTGGGCAAAGAAATGATTACAAGTGCAATTTTTCTTCCAAATTTGATGTGAAATGTGTACATTGTTAGAATACCCAAAGAATCTTGCAAGTTTTATAGTCTTTTCTTTACAGTTTTTGAAATCAAAATGGCCACATTAAATTGTATGGACCATAGTGTCAATCCATATAGAGCTATATGAGCTATCATATTAATCTTAAGTAAAAATATAGATTTGCCACATTGGATTGGACTATAGCCATTAAGACCAAAGGTGGCCAAAATTTGCTGCTTCAAAGGAAAGAAGAAATCTTGTAATACACTATTACAACCCTCTAACATTGGAAAAAATCCTTCTTGATCTCTACAGTGATAATTTTGTGTCATGCAGCTTTGGAATTACTCTTCTCTTAACACCATAACTACAAATGTGAAAATCTGAGAGTTCAAGAATTTTGTTTTTGCTATAAGATGCAGATCAGAATTTGCCTCCAAGTTTACAACCAGGGTTCTTAATTATCGCAAGGGTTACAAAAAGGTATAACTGATTCCATAATAAAACACAACTGCAGATCTTAGACTACAACCCTAGGCTTATCTATACACACAAGTTTCACCGGTTTTAATTATAGGTGTAATGTTGCACCAAATTAGCTAAACCACTGCAACTTTGTGTGAACACTTACATCAGTACACAAAGTTGCAAACTGGTGCAACACCACTCTTTTTTAATTCAAAACACAGATGAATTTTCTTCCAACTTTGCAGAAACCCTCTTTGCCTTAAAAGCAAAAAACAAACAAAAACCCCCACACCTGGGTACTTATCTTACAGTATCTGGGGCTCTCCAAGATGTTTTCGTCTGTGCGGATCCCACCCCAGGTGCCCAACGCAGAGCCTTGATCTTTGGAAAAAGCAGTGTCCACTGGGGCCGGGTGCCTGCATCCTGAATGTCCTCACACTCTCCCTTGTCCCTTCCCCACACATAAGGGCATATAGGGCATAGCAGCTGCAACTCTCCCTCAGTTCCCTGGCTAATTCAGAGAACTCCAAAAAAGTGGGGAATCGAGGTTGGATCGTGGAGTGGGATCCACACAGATAATGACATCTTGAAAAAGCAGTTACTATAAAGGTAAATAACCACTTTTTCTTAATCAAACATATCCATGTGGATCCCACTCCAAGTGACTGATAAGCAGTGCCCCATCTGGAGGTGGTATAAAGGAGTCTGAACTGCCACTAAAGAATGGTTATAATACCGCAGTCCAGAACTTGGCATCTGATCCTGCAGTCAGATCAAGGGAGCCCTCAAGGGGTGCATGTAGCGGACTTGCAAATGTCAGATATGGGGAGGTTTCTGAAACAAGAAAAGGAAGCAGTTTATGCTCCAGTGGAATATGCTTTAACCTTTGAAGGAAGAGGTATCTCAGCCATACGGTAGCAAACTGATGCACTGAGTAACCCATTTTGATACTCTCTGGGGGGAGATGATTTAGCCCTTCAGGTCACTGGAGAAAAGGCAATAAAAAGACTGGAAGACAGTCAAAGGATGTGTCCTGAAAGGGTAGTATAATAAAGCCCTTGAAACATCAAGGCCTGGAGTTTCTTCTCCCTGGGAGTAAAATGGAGTTTAGGAAAGAAAATAGGTAAATTGATGGACCAGTTTAAATTAAATCCGGACATTAGAAAAACCTCAGATGAGGTGTCAACATCATCTTGCCTCTGCAAAACGTTGTGTAAGGAAGATCAACCACGAGAGCGTGGAGTTTGCTGATCTTACTGGCCGATGTGATGGGATTAAAAAGACTGTCAAGAGAATGAGAGGTGGTGGAAAGAGCATACTAAAAGGTGCTCCAAGAGTGGCATCATGAGGTTTGCAAGGATGATATTAAGATTCCATGCAGGAGAGAGTTCTCTGACTATTGGGTAAGTATGCAGCAACCCCTTTAGAAATCTGGATACCATAGGATAAAAAAAAATGAATATGACTGGACAAGTGCATGACATGCAGCGAATGCTGCACGGCGGATTGTAATGTAATTGAAAAAAATCCAGAATGTTTCAAATATATGATATAGTCAAGGATCTTTCGTATAGAAGCTTTCAGCAAGTCAAAGTTGTGCTGAGCTACTCAAGTTGAAATTTTTTTTCCATTTATAGGAAAAAGGTCTCCTCGTGGAGGGATTTCTGCTTTGGAATAGGATCTTGTAGAGAGCTGTCTCAGTCAGCAGCACTCAACAAGCCTACATCCAGACTATCAGATGCAGTGACCCTTGGTCTTGATGTAGAATCTGACCTTGATCCTGCAATACAACATTTAGGCTTGGCAGGATTAAATTTTAATTGCTAACTATCGGTAAACGTTAATTTTCAGCTGACACACTGAAATCGATGAAAAAAAAAAATCAATCGGTAACAGCCAGTGTGCCTACTGGGATCGGATATCACCAGCCCTGCAACCATGGAGGGAGCACCCTGCAGCAAGTCCCCTGCAACCCTGCTGTAACAGGAGTACATGAGTGGGTAAGAGACAGCGGAGCTGCAGAGGGCTCCCTGAGCTGCCTCAGGGTTGGTGATACCCGATACCTACAGGCACAAGGTACAGAAGGAGGCTGTGGTCCTGGCATGGCAGAGCAGAGACCCCTGACCAGGACTGCAAGGAGGAGGAGCCCCCAACAGCAGGGGATGCCACCCCACTGCTGATTGGCTCCTGCAACAGTGCAGGGAGCCATCTGCAGCCCACTATCATGGACCCACTCCCTCTCACCAGCTGGGAATGCCGGGGGTCTCTGGTCTGCCCAGCCAGGATTGCAGCCATCTCTACACTGTGTCCCTGCAGGGATTGGGTGTCAGTGGCCATGCAGGGAGACCTCTGCTGCTCCACTGTCACAGGAGTGAGGTGCCATGATAGTGCAGTTGAAGAGGGCTCCCTGCATGGCCACGGGGCCAGTGACACCCGATCCCTGAAGGAACAAGGTGTCAGGGAGGCTGCAGTTGTCATAGAATATCAGGGTTGGAAGGGACCTCAAGAGGTCATCTAGTCCAACCCCCTGCTCAAAGCAGGACCAATCCCCAGAAAGATATTTACCCCAGTACCCTAAATGGCCCCCTCAAGGATTGAACTCACAACCCTGGGTTTAGCAGGCCAATGCTCAAACCCCTGAGCTATCCCTCCCCCCAGTGGAAGAGAGACCCCTGGCCAGGATTGCAAGGATGAGGACAAGCTCCTGGCTATAGGGGAAGTCACTGCACTGCTGAGAATTTCCTGTCTGGGAATGGCTCCCACACTCCCAGCTGGTGAGTGGGGCTGGTAAGACTCAATCCTGACAGGCATAAGGTGTGGGAAAGACTGCGGTCCTGACCCAGCAGAGCAGAGACCCCCGGCCAGAACTGCGGGGAGGCGTCCTCTCCCCAGTCGCAGAGGAAGTCACCCAGCTGCTGAATGATTTCATCCCCTGGCTGGAGCCATTCAGCAGCGGGCTGATCTCCCCCATAGCCGAGAACTTGTCCTTCTTGAGGCTCTGGAGGTCTCTGCTATGCCCTTCTTGGACCCCCGCCTTTCCTGTACCTTGTGACTGCTGGGATTCACTGTCACCAGTCCCATGGTCGTGCAGGGAGCACTCTGCAGCTCTGCTGTCATGGACCTGCTCACTTACTCACCAGCCAGGAGCATGGAAGCTGTCCCCGGGCAGGAACTGTTCAGCTGCAGGGTGGCCTGCCACATAGCCAAGGGCTTGTTGTCCTCCTTACAGTCCTGGCTGCAGAGGGCTCTGCTCTGCCCGGCCAGGGTGACCCCCCCCCACCCCCACACCACATCTTGTGCCCTGGTGTCTTGGGCCCCTCAGCAGTTCATCACTGTCAGCACTGCCCTAACTCTAACTTCAACCTTCCCCCACAACCATAAAAATAAAAATAGTTAATAGAAAAATATCTTTAAAATAAAAATGTATATAAATAATCTAAATTAGAAAAATCAAAAATTGAGTTCTGCCAAGCCCAACTATATTTGGGCAGTCTGGAAGTGGAATGGGAGGCTAAGCAGATGTCTGGGGAAGGTCTATCAACCAGAACTGTATTGACTTGTATGGGACCATCAGGACTAATGAGAAAGACTCTGTCTCATCTGATCTTGCATGTCATTCTGGGAATGATGGGAAATGGTGAGAATGCGTATATGAGACCTTGATCCAACAGTATGAGACTGGCATCTTGCCTCCCCAGAAGAAAAGGCTGGACATTTCAGATGCTCTTTGGTGACGAACAAGTCTATGACAGGATTTCCCCTCTAGTGAAAAAAAATCAGCTTGATAAAGCTCTTCAGAGACCACTCGTAGTTGGTGATGAATTGTCTGTTTAGTAGTCTGCTAAACTTTGCTGACTCCTGCGAGACGGAGAGACGTTACCTGGGTTGTTGGCACAATGTCCATAACTCGATAGCTTCTTGACATGGGGGTGATAAGCAGGTGCAGATGCACCTGCATATGTGTTGACTGTATGAATCTGTACTGTGGAATTCCATAGGACAGTCTGGAATGCCATGGAAGTTAATTTAATTGCTTGTAGCTTCAGAACATTTATGTGAAGAGTTATTTTCTTTTCAGATCAAATCCTTTGTATCTGGAGGTGGTCCAAGTGAACACACCAACCTGCTCATGATGTGTCAGTGATCAGCATCTTTGCAGGAGTCAGAGAGAAGAAAAACCATTTTGGAAATTCTTGGGGTTGGACCACCAGTTCAGTGCTGATGGGACCACAGTTCTCATGCTAATTTGATCTCTTGTAGGACAATACACCAACTTTAACCAGGCTTGTAACAGGTGCGCGTGAAGTTTGGCAAGAAGCTTCATGTAAGTGCAGAGTGACGGGGCCTAGAAATCCGAGACAGCTCCATACCGTGTATGCTGGATTCAATTTAATACTGGTGATTATTGACTGAAGAAACTGAAATCGGTCTTCAGAAAGATATGACATCACCAATTTGGAGTCAGTCAAGACTTCTCTATTAATTCTTTTGCCTGTGATGGGATGGGAGACTATTTGTCGTAGTTCACTAAAAGGCCCATTTGAGTGAACAAGTGAAGGACATAGTTCAAAGCTGCAGTAAGCTCCTGATGGGATAAGCCTTTGATTAGCCAATCATCTAGATATGCATAGACATGGATGCCTTGTCTAGCCAGCGTCTGAGGTATCAATGGATGCTAGTAGCAATGTTTTGGATACTAGCTGGGGCTTCCTTAATGATATCTTTCAGCTCCTTTCTGGCATCTTGTGGGAGCCTGGATATGTAAGGAGACACCCTATCCCATACAAGGTAATTACATTTTTCAGATAGGGCCTGTTAATTGACAAATCATAACTGTAGTGAGGCTGATGAACAGGCCATTCTCCGAAATGAGCTCAGTTTCTTGGGATATCTCTCACCTTAGATTTTCAAGCACAGGAGAGACCACCAAAGAGCCTGGTGTCAGGGGAATATAAAACTGCTCCTACCCCTTTTAGGATAGCTGGCAGTGTTTCTCTGTTCTGTTAGCCATAGGAGATAGAGTAGCTGGTGTTTGCCACAAGGTCTTAGCAAGATCCAGGAGGTCCTCGTTGACAGGTTGTACTATCCTAGCAGGAGCAGATGAGTGCAGAATATCAAAAAGCTTGTGAGAGCCTTTTTTTTAAATTTTTCTTTTTAAAGTGATAGACGTTTCAATGTCAAGTGTCTTGGCAATTCTGGGGCGCAGGTCCTGAAACTTTTGAAGTCATCAGATTCTGGTACAAGGGTTGAAGAAACAGCTTTGGCTGGGGGAAGAAGACAATGTGTGCCTGAAATGCAAAGGATGTTGCTCCTCAGGTTCTCTGGTGTCTGTTCCTCCTCAGACACTTGCTCACTCATCTCTCTCAAATGATAGTGATCTGGGCATAGAAGTGGAGGGGAAACAGAGATCTACTCTACTTCCTAGAATGGTAGGAAGGTCTCCTGGATGTCCAGGACCGAGATCCCCAAAATGCACAATCCCATGATGGCACACCGTATTGGTAAGACTGGTTCAGATCGGGTTGACCAGGCCACTTGTATGCCTGTGATAGATGTGTGTGTAGGAGCTCTAAAGGAAGAGCCTCTTGTTTGTAGTGATATAATGATCTGAGGTGAGAAGACTCCTTGCTCAACACAGAAGAAAAAGTGTGCTCCAGTGAGGAGGACAACAAAGAAACAGTCAAGGGACAGTTTGACCTCTGGGGAGATCTTGATGCCAAGAAGTCAAAATTATGCACTGGTGCCAATTATGAAAGTCTTAGTACCAAAAACATCACCAGGCACAAGATAGTCTCCTCCAGTAAAAAATCATCAGGCACCGTTAGGAATTCCATAGATGGTGCTGATATTGAAGCTGCCACCTGTGTCAATGCCTGTGCCAGTGGTATTGTAAGCACTGGTACCACATGAGGCTAATGTTTCTTCAGCACCAAGCTGAAGGTTGAGCCAGCATCACTTACTCCTCCTGTGATGGGCAGAGGCATAGTGATTTGTTCCCTGGAGAACTGATGTTAGGGCCCTTCTTTACAGAAAGATAGGGACTGGTGCCAGGAACCATGGGGGTGTCTATATTTGGGTCTCTCGTCTCACAGAAGACGCTGCACCAGTCTTCAGTGCCAGCATGGACTTTGGTGCCGGAGCCTTGCCTGATGCCAAGGATTTTTTGTTGGTACCCATTTTGGGAGTCATGTGCTGGGTAGCAGGGGCACTAGCAGATTAGAACTTAACAGTGGTCGGATCTGTCTTAGAAGTTGATCCTCCATCGTCGGGGTCTGAAGTGACCCTACACTGTTTGAGGCAGTGAAACTTTATACAGGCTTCCCTGAATTTCCATGTCCTCGTGGAAAAAGGTCCAGCACAGCAAACCCCGACCTGGAATGTGGCTCTCACCAAGGCAGAATAAACGGTGGCTGTGGCCAATAATGAGAGGGATTAAGCCATCCAGAAAAGACGTGGTTTGCAGTCTGAAGACTTTGAATCTGCCATTTTGGTGCAGAAAGAGGCGCCTTTGCTTTTTTTAAAGAGATAATCCAAACAGAAAAATAAGAAATAAAGAATAACAGAGGGTAAAAAGGGAAAAATCAGCCCTGAGTTAAGAGGAGAAGGAACAATAAGGGGTAGCAGACAAATGCTACTAGTTCTGTCTCACTGCCAGGGCTGGTAAGAGGGAACAGAGGGACTGTACGGCTGCTCTACCCTTTATGCTTTTGAGGTGGGAAAGGGGAGGCACAAGGGCATGGAAGGTGCAGACACAGCCCCAGTGGACACAGCTATTCAAAAAGATTCTGGTCTCACATTCATATACACCTGCAGTGGGATTCACAAGACACAAAGAACTGACAATTTTCAGGCCAAACTAGTTTTCCAAGTCAAAGTCATATGAGATAAAAATAGGGCTTTATAACAAAAGCAGGTTGAGTTGCAACCTTAACTGCTGCATATTCCTAATATAGTAGGAGCCTCCACAAATCTTAGAAGTCTGCAAAGTTGTTAAATAAAAAATTAAAACCAACAGAAAAAGCTAGTGTTAAATATAGCACAGCTTACGAGATTTAGTAGCTCTCTCCCTTCCATTTCTGTCACTGGATGTTGCTCTTTTGTGCTGTTGCTCTACTTTAGGTGCTGGACCCAGTATCTTTTTCACTAGCTTTTGTCCATCCCGCCAGGAAGATGTACTTATCAGATGGCCTCCACCTAAACAAAGAGCAAATAATGAAGTACTGCATGTATTTTCCAGTGTATCTTGAACGTACCTAGTACTTAACATAACCCTTCTACTTATTATTACACTAAGAACTATCACTATATTCCAAACAAATGGTGCTACTTCAGTTGCACAACCCAGGCCTAATAAATAGCCTCGAAGCATAAAAGTATATGAAGGCTGAGGTATAATGCTTATTACCGAGGTACAGCACAAAGTAAAAACCCAAAGCATCTTGCAGTAACTTGTATCCCTACAAAAAACTGTAGAAGTAATAGTCCTGTGCTGGCCTAAAAGATTTGAAGACAAGTGTTAGTGAAAATAAAGAGACAGAGAATCTGTAGAAGACTGTGAGGTTGAGAAAAGAGGCTTTGTATCTTGAGTGGGGGGTAGGAAAATGAGAAAGCAGAGCAGAAATAGAACGAGAGATAAAATTTCAGAGTAACGAGAATAAAAGGAGGCCCAGAATGGGGGTGTGTGTGGAAGAGAAGAATGAATGGTTCATTTTTAAGTACTGAGGCTAAATGAGCATCAATTTAGTTTACAGAAAGGACTTTAGAAAGCAATAGCATTTTTAAGAGCAAATTTGCTGCTGAAATAGATGGCTCTTACGAATGTACAAATGTGAATCAACAACAGTCCTGGGCTATGCAAATCCACTGGATTCTAGCAAGGACTTCTGTGAAGGGGAAGTTTAAAGGGTTAAGACACTATCTTAATGGTTTATGCATTGCTTAGGAACAGAACAATTATTTTTTTCAAACATGCATTAATATTATTCAATGATCCTATATCAGATCAGAGGCTGGCAGATCTGGCACAAAATTATCTTCACTGAATGCTTATAAGATTAAACATGTAAATTCATCTGACTAGTTTTTCTTCCCATTAGCTTCCCACACAATATTTAATGATCTTTTGAAGTAAAGCACCAAGATCCTTGGATGAAAAGATATATACAAGTGCAAAGCAGTACACTAATTATTTAATTTGGGCCATTTATCACTTTAATCTCTGCTGAGAAACACCTAATTTGCAGGTAATTAATAATCAGGTCAATTTGTCTCTCTCTTAGTTGGGATTTCCAACCATATATGTTCATACACTAGAGCATGAGCATAGTTTAAAAACTAGACATAAATAAATAGGGATATCAGCCTACTGGCCCTACAGGGCTCTGAGAAGCCTAGACATTGAATCTAACTAAATTAAAAAACTAAACCCAACACAGCAGATCTAGTATGTTTTGACATTCAATGTCTTCAATGCTCCTTTAATGAAAGCAGTAGACCTCTAAGATAAAAGGTTGAAAAGACACCATTTCAGTGGCTACTTATATTGTAAACTATGCAAGTGCTTTATGACCCTGTCACTTGAACTTGAAACAGGTTACCATGAACCTTTTAAAACAGATGCACCAGCCAAAGAGATTCTCTTGCCCAACTTGCTGCTCTCAATTATTTCTATACCCCTCCACAAAGCCAGAAGGAAGAGCTTATCTTCTATTTCAGGTCAGCTGTCTACACTAAAAGAAGCTAACAAAGCAGAATATGAGCTGCAGTTATTTATAGTACTTGGCTGTGTTATGCATTCTGTTACTGCAGTGACTGAAGGGGGAGGGAACATTATTACAGATATAACATTGAGCCAGCTCTGATGCCTCTCCTCTAAGAATTTCAGTACAAAAACATGAGGAGAATTATGTAGTCCAATACAGGGATAGGTGCAGCTGGATAACACCACAAAATCAACATGGTTACTGAGTTCAACTGCCTCTGTGCTACTCCCCCTTTCTGGACTAATGGTATGGTCACAAATATTTTATGGAAAACTCTTAATTATTTTTCTTTTCAAGGAGACATTTGGTTCCATTCTTAATCCAGGCTACCCTTTCAACTTTGTCTGGGAAATCCATCCTCAGATTCCCAAATAAAACCAACTGATGGTAGCAGCAGCTCTAAAATTCAAGCTACTTTAAAGACGAATCCAGAACACACAACTTCTATTAGAGTTTTGATAACTCTACTTTCTATGTAAGGGAGGAGGTTTAGCCATTCACAGTTCATGAACAACATGAATTCAACAGAGCACAAAGAAACAGCTTCATATCTAACATTTACTTTCAATACCAGTTTCAACTATTAGCCATCATCACTAAAATGAGACATTTACACACTGCTCTCCTAAGTACTATATACTGAGTGCACAAGTTCTATATTGTGCCACATTAACTTTTACTCCCAAAGAGTTTCAGGAACATAAATTTGTATATGGCTTAACTTTATAAGCCTAGTTAAAGAAAAAGGAGCTAACTACAGACCACAGTACATTCTGAGGTTAAATATGCAAAAATAAATGCCTTATGCATTTTTTAAGCTATGTTAGTATATTGATTGGGTTGATCCTGATGATTGCTTATTTGACATGAAAGTTCAATTCAAAAATAATTCTATCTGAAAGGTTTTCCATTTACTTTTATTACTTATAATACCAAAGATTAGTACAACTTAAAGGAAAAATGTCTCCCTTCATTTGTTTAGTTGGGGTACAGGAAAAGCAATGGAGAAGGAAGTTGTTCCCCTCCACCTCCCAATTCCCTCCACAGACCTGGATCTGTACACAGGAAGGGGAGGGGATGAGGAAAAAGGAGAGGGACTCCTTCATTCTATTCCTAATCCATCAGGCCATAGGAGGATAATGCAACAGGTTCCATTGACCCCCACCCCACCTATTAGCAGTGGAGGCTGATGGCCCCTCCATCATTGCTGGCATCTATCTGTGAGAAAGCAGGAAAGCAACATGCAGCATCCCACTGTGATACTCTGTACCCCAAAGCAACACTCTGGCACCCCCGTATTCACCAGTGTTATAATTGCAACAAACCTTGTACAAAATGTGTCATGCGAGGTGTTGATGGAAAAGTTATGGTTTGCTGAATATGATTATCCTATTTGTATGCATGTATCATTTTTGTATCTGAAGTTATGAATATTGACTATGTACCTGTATTTCAAATGCGTTTGCTCCTGTGGTAACTCCCACAAGGTAGTTTACATCCAGGTTAGCCAGCACATTGTGAATGGATTATTCAAGTTGATGGGCCATCAATGAACACAATGGGCCATGGAAGAAGCTTATCCCCACCCGATGGACTTTCCTCTGAATGTTCTAGCCAGAATATGGGTAATGTCCCCTGCTATGACTCATCGAAGCATGCAAGAGCATGTGACCAGCTTATGTGACACTGGTAGGGTTACCATTCGTCCGGATTCCCCCGGACATGTCCGGCTTTTTGAGCTAAAAATAGCGTCCGGGGGGAATTTGTAAATGTCCGGACTTCCCCCTCCCATGCAGAGCGCGCGCAGCTAACAGGGCAGCCGGCTGGATGGTGCCACTTACATGGGGCTCCGACAGCCAGAGAGAGCCCCTCCTCCGCTTCCCCTGCAGCAGAGATCACTCCCTCCCTTCCTGCATTCGCAGATCGCCTCCGGCAGTCTGGAGCTCCTCCCCCGCTCCTCCTCCACTGCTGCCCAGCGTGCCGGGACGAACAGCTCAGGCCGTTCCTGAGCAAGCTCACACAGACATTAGGCGAAGGCCAACAACAAAGGGGGCCAGAAGGTCGGAGAAGGGGCAGGGAAGTTTTGGAGGGGGCAGTCAAGAGACGGGGGGGGGGGG